GTTGGGCTATTTTCCCCACAGTAAAAGCAGCGAGGACGACCTGGTCTATGAACAGGCCAATGGTTGACACAATCAGTGCGGATATGTCTGTGGTGCCATGTCAGGTGCTTTGCGTGGCAGCTTCTCTACTGGTACAGATGGTGCCTCAATGCTTGGCCTCCCCCTTCCCTTTCTTTGAACTGTAGCCTCTGCAAGTGAGTGCGAAACTGAGCCTGTAAATTGCAAAAGGTCAAGCTGCCTGGCAATGGTTGGCAGAATTGGTTGAAAATATCAAGGGCCTAGAAAACATGGAAGTCACACGATCAATAACCGGGGTACATAGACATAGGAAGCATTTCAAAAGTGGGGAGAGGGAGGGATATGGACTCAAAACGGGGGTACCTCGGTAAGCTGCAAGTAGGTACTTTACAAATATTTTTGAAGTGACGGGGCCCGTACCCCCTGTTTCTGTTTCTGTTTCCGTTTCTGTTTTCTGTAAAAGTGACGGTTTCTACGTCTATGCCGGGGGACAAGCTAATGAAAAGAAGCTGAAATGCCACAGTATTACTCCTATGCCTCACAGTTTTTGCAATCAAACTGAATAAAAAATGCTGTTAGAAATTCTGATTGATACGGTACAAAGTAATTCCAAGTATATTGTACGATTAAGCTTTTGTTTATGTACAGACTAAAGAAGAATCCCTTCACATTCCCTTGTTGAAGGCAAAGTTTTAAATACAAACAGAGGTAACGGGGGCTGAAAATTCAGTGTTTGACGATAGCCGAAAACTTGTTAGAAAGAGAAGAAATTTCTCCGAAGTTTTTGGGAAAAAGCGTGAATACACTGAACTCATTTTATAAAATCTTGTAAATCATTTTTCTTCAATAATCTAAGAAGGTAGAACAATACCCCCACAACAACCGGAGGGCGATTTTTTAGACAAAGATTCTCTGTCCATTCCTATTAGCCCGTGACAGCTGTGACATAACCTAATCTGAACTCGGATAATACTCAGCAAATTATACGTTTTTTATATAGATTAGTGTAGTTACCCTGGGTACCAGAGTTTCATGAATTCGGGGATAAGTATTAATGTTTTTGTGATTAATTTCTAACTATATCTCTGAGACTAAATAATGGAGTCTCTGGCACTCAGGGTATAGTGTAGTGTACTTACAGCCAAGGGGCACCAAAATTGAAATAGATAACTGACGTATTAACCCCCATCCCCCTTAATGTATCGTATCAGACAAACTTTATGCCTATAATAGGTTTGGTTTCATTTTCTTGAAGGCCGGATGGTTTAATAATTCTTTTTTGGAGAAAAGCAATGTCGTCCACATGAAAACTTCGCTATTACAATGGAAGATAATTACAATAACAACAAATGCGCACTGGCGAGGGATGGATTGAAAAACAGTACTTCAGCTTTCTTTTACCATAAATGTGGGGAGGGCAGCTCCAACAGGCAGTGGCGGCTCCAGCCTGGGATAAGTGGGGGGGGACAAAAGGTGTGTCAGGGACAATGCCCTTTGGACCACGCCCTTTCCCCTTGTTTGAAACTGTTTTTTCCGGAGGAAACATCTGTTGTCTCCCAAGAAATGTCCTTTACATGTGACGATCTTGATAACATACATACCCCCCCTAACGTTTTCTCATCGGGTTTGCAAGAATCTCAAGGACCAACTTTCTGAAAAAGTTGGGGGGACTAGTCCCCCCTATTCCCCCCCGTGGCTCCGCCACTGCCAACAGGGATCTATGGCCCTGCTTGGTAAATATCTTGTAATAACCGTTCATTTTTTATCACCGTACAAAATAGTGGATGGCCTAAAGTGCTTATTCCTGAGGTCTGTCGCACTGCACGCATGACTGAAACGGCTGAAGAAGAGGGTATGTCAATAAAAATTTTTCCATAGGATCATGTCAAGTACACCTAGCTCAAAGTTTAAACAGTGAAGGAAGCAATTTGCACAGAAAACAAACTATTGTGGAAAGTAAGACATTACGAAATGCAAGATCAATTTATGATAACTGGGAGTATGATCGCCATTCGCCAGTGTCTACAGGCCAGGGTCTTGGCTCTATTTCCTCAGACATCACTGAGCATGCTCCATACAGCACAGTTGTGATTGTGATATAGAAACCTACAACACAAATTTGCCAATGTGTCAAACCGGCTACCATAGTATCTTTCACTTATTTTGAGCGAAGGTTAATGTAATGTACGTATTCTTTGTGAGGGCATGACTAATACATGTCAGCACAGTAAAGTAGTTGTACCTTTTTCTGCAATTACCTGCTTTAACATTGGCATATTTACGATTCCATTCGAACTTTCAAAATCATAGGGAAATTATATCATGGCACCAGCATAATTCCTAGAGACTTCATAAAATGTTACCAAAAAAACCAAGGTGGCATTCTTTAAACCTTCAAAAGTTTCAATGGTAGAAGGGAACTTCGTCTCTTGATTTGAATAGTAGGAACAGTTCAGTTCCAGTAAGGCTTTCTTAGGACTTTTTTGAGAAATCAACGTTTCTTTCCAGCAACGATCCAAATCGGCCCCGAGTCGAGATATATCATGGCTATGAAAATATACTTGCTATTATTTTAAAGTCATTACATTAGCATCAAACGCTCTCTTTATTTTCAGTGACAACACATCCCTTACCATAATATTCAAAGGGTGAGAGGGCAAGTTTGTGTTCTCAGAATAGCGTATCAAGTGTGGTACGATTTGGGGGCAAAGGCGGGTTGAGCGAGGGGAAAGTAGGGAGCCCATGCCCTCTAAAACGCCAGAAATTGCCCTTTTTCAAAGAGATTTTTTGCCTTTGGAAGGAAGGGCGTCCGCACCCTCTTCTTCCCCCTCGCTACGCCATAAAACAGAAAGGGATAGGAAAGGTTTTACGAAAGCTTACGATCATGTACAGCAGAGATGTAAGGGGGGGGGGGGGTCAAATGGATGCAATCGTACTCTCTTGGAGCCTTTTTGAAAGGAAACAAAGCTCTTTCAAATATGAGCTTTGGGATCACACAGCCTCTCTAATTGTTGTTCTTTTCAACTCGTAGGGAGGAGTACGTTCGCATCCATTTGAACCCCCCCCCCCCAGCCAGCGTAGTGGCCTGTCAAAGCCATAGAGAAGTGGTCAGAAATCCACAATTCTGGAGAATAGGTTCTTTACCGATGTCTCCAAAAAATCATTGGTAAAATTGAGAAACAAATTTCTTCCGAAACTTTTTCATATTGATATGCTGGACTTCTTAAAGTTCTATTGTCTCGACAAGCAAAAAAGCCACAGTACGTTAAGACACGGTAGTCACTTGCACGAAAAGATTCGAAACTCGTGTTGAGCGTTCGTTTTTTATTATGGCCTAAAGTGATCTGAAGAGATCTGAAGATTGCTTGTTTCTAAGATCTGTCGCACTGCACGCATGACTGAAACGGCTAAAGAAGAGGCTATGTCAATAAAGATTTTCTACAGGATTATGTATAGAACACCTAGCTCAAAGTTTAAACAGGGAGGGGAGCATATTTGCTCAAAAAAACAAACTATGGTGGAAGGCAAGACCTAAAATAAAACTTGCTCTAAACAATCAATGCTCTTTTAGAAGGATCTTTTCTTGTATCATCTCCTTACTATAGTCCGTATTTATACTATAGTGCAAGTTAACTGGTCCGTATTTTTGATACTCATTAGCCAGCCTTTAAAATGTCTTTTTTAAGTACAGAATTATTTCCTACTAAAATAATAAAATTTTAGCAGTAAATCATTACTCATGCAGATAACAAAGAAGTATAGCTGAATTTGACGACTTTCAGATTTTAAAACCATCCAGCCCATCGATAAAGAAGGGATTACTTACATCAGATGCAGCTTCTGTGTTTGTGTTCTCTGTTACTCCTTGTTGTGGTATTTTTGCTTCGATATCAGGCCTACGACGCATGGCCATGCTCCTATCTACACAACTTCATTTTTGTTAGCTCTACTTCTAGATTACAGCTGCTGTCGCCTGTGTTTTGTTCCATTCTCTCTCTACGCTGCTCCTCGATTTCCAATCTTGTCAGCTCTCTTGAATCACCGTCTACATTGATTCCAGAAATTTCCAATGTTTGTCTCGCATACAAAAGCAAAACTAATGCGCGCGCGCAAAGGCTGCTAGTTGCACAGGCCCCTTAAGCCAGAGTTAAAATTGCCTTGGAGGCATATTCAGTCATGTTTGCAAACAAAAGGTTCCCAACAACAACAAAAACTCAGATTTTACACTACAGAATGAAAGAGGTAATTGATGTAAGTTTAAAGAAAGAAAGGTCCCAAAACAAACACTTGTGGCACACCAAATCTTTTATTATAAAGTAACCTTTCGAGCTACCTTTCACTATCCATGGCACTGGCTTTTACCGAATATTCTAGCAACACTGCAGTCTTCACTACCTGAATATTATAATGTTACATTTATCTAAATCGTGTCATGATAAACAGTATAGACATGTCTCTAGCAAAAGGAATTCTTGGAGCATATTCAAATCAAAGAAGCTTGAAGCTTTGCGATGAAATTGCGTCTTGCAGTGACCAGATGAGTGACAGGGTTATCACAGTAAGCGATCAATAGACTGAAGACGAGTTAACAACTTGTCGTATCTCGATTAAAATGGCATTACATGCTATCAAAAGTTAGGAAGGCCAATGAATTGTCATTAGGTATGTAAAAATAATTGATTGATGACAAATTGATTGATGACAAATTGATTGATGACAAATTGATTGATGACAAATTGATTGATCTATGGAAAGGGACGCAGTTCTCTGAAGCAACAAAAGTATGTTAAAGTAACTACAGTGGAACCTCCATCGACGGACACCTCTATACAACGGACACCTCCAAACAACGGACAAATATTGAGTCCCAAAACAAAAGTTAAAAAAAGATGACACCTCCATACAGCGGACACCTCTCGACAACGGGCAATAACATTGGTCTCACTAATCTGAAGAATTACCAAGATAAATAGAGGTCATAATTGAAATACAAAATTATCATAATATAAATTAATATGATTAGAAAAGTTATATTACATGATTAGTTACAGTTTTATAAATTATATAAACTTAATGTTTTAAAAATGCAACAGTTATTAGGCAGTTCAATGTTTGGTGAAAATTGTTCTTTCAGATAAAAAGCATGTAAAGACAGAGAGTAGCAAATACTGCTGGTAGAGCAGTTACCCTATATTCCAAATGTTAGGTCAATAGTCTGCCCTGGTGATATATGCACCACATGAGTATGGCTTCTCTCTGCACCCCATTTGCCTGCGCTGACTGCATAGGTTCCAGGAGCCATCTCAAGTTGTACACCTTCATGTTGCTGAAGCTGAAGAAGTTAATATAAAACGAAACAAAATTACAAATGCACTAGCCATAAGATTTGCAGCACAGTGATCAATATCTTTCATACACCAATAAAACAGTATTTGATCAAGATTCCTTCTTTCAATCTTTTATTTCAAAACAACATTATATTTTGTTTGCTTTTTGGTGAATGGTAGAACAGAACAAAGAATAGTATAATGAATGTGTGCTAAATTACACATGCAGCAAAAAGAACTTTGCACTGATGACTCATCAAGGAACCTCAATGAAGCCTAAAGTAACTGAACTCCTAAAATTGGGTTTCCAAATGGTTTAAAATCAAATATATTTTGTACTCTGTTTCTGTATCCTGATGCTTACAAGTGTTTCTACTTACTGGATTTCTATCTTTCAGTCTTTTTTGTTGATGTGTATGGAACTGTTGACAGTGTTTATTATCCTCCTCACTCAGATTTCGGTTTTTTGATCTATAGTACCTCTGGAACAAACAGGATCACAATCACCAAAGGCCTTCAAGATTATAAATCAACACAAGAAAACCAATGAATAATATTCCATTATTCAAAAGGTGCTTTAAAAAAGTATTAAGAAAGATAAGAGGAATATGATACACTTAATAAAACAAGGGAAACAAATAGCAAAGAAACAAAAAAATTTATGACTAACGCTTTTTACATTATTGATCATTTCTTCCCTTAAACAGCAGATATACTTAAAATGGGATAACGTCATTATTTTTATAGGAATCAGACATACCTTGCATTGACTTGTAGTCATACTCATAAACTGCATCACAGTTCCAAACGCATCATCTATTGTTGTAAATGAATGTGGGTCCTTCAAAAAACAACATTTCCATAACTTACAATTAAAATTTTTATCAGCAAAGGTGTCACATTTTGTGTCCACAGACTTTGGTAAAAGTGTGGTGAACTGCTATTGGTGTTTTGTCATAATTCTGCAAACACTCAGTTCAAAGTATACTGAGCCATGAAAAACTTTATTTCACAAGTCATTTCTTCAGTTATCAAATTTCTTTAACAAATAATACTTGTGGTTTTAACTAAAGAAGGCAAATTCGAGACAAAATAAAAATCTTCACTGCTGATATGAAGCTACTTAAGCAGCCACCTGTCTTAGTTAAGGAAATCCATGGCAACTTTAATCTCTTCTTTCACTTGTTTCCTTTTGTTATTTTACATCGACAGCTCAGTCATCTCTAATAGTTCAGTTTAAAGGAGTTTAAACAACTTTGCTTTTGCAGGGCTTTCACGTTCAAAGATCAACGCGTGCGGTAAAAAACTCACGTGAAAAGAGTGAGGCGCGCGAATCAAATTTATTTGTTAACACAATAATATAGATTTTTTATTGAAACATCAACCGTGACAAAACTTTTGAAATGAACTGAATGCTACACATCGTATAGTTATGTTCGTGTTTCCCTCACGAGTTATCGTGAACGGTACTCTGCGATATAGAGAGGCAAAAAACAGACAAAAATAGCTTTAGCAAATAAAACAAAAAAAGGCCCCGTTTGACCAACGTCCGTTCGAAATCAGGCCCTGTTCCTATTACTCCGCTTTTATAGGAAAATGGAGCTGAATGAATCGTTTTTTGATTTTGGTTTCCGTTAATACGCTCAAAAATGGAGACAATTATATTGATGTTCCAAGTTATCAACCAACAACGTTTGAAAATTGCCAAAACGGTGTGGGCCGGAGCAATGGGAACGGCTTAAGAAAAACGGAAACTGAATGATCGGAAGACATACGAAAACAGAGCAGTGGAAACAAGGATTCGATGTCAAACTTCCGTTTCTAAAGAGTTTCTCAAGTGGTTTGACCTATCAGCATCCGGCAATCGCGCTCTTCACGGGAAATATTTATTACTGGGCGCGCGTCTGATCGCTCTCAAAGGTAATCTTGGGCGCGTGCCTGCACGCTCGCGCGCTATCGCGCGCCCCCCATTGAAAGCCCTGCTTTGAAATGTTCAAAATGGCAAAAGAAGTGAATATGAAGATGTTAGTGAAACTTTAAAAACTCTTAAGACACTTTGAATATTAGATTTTTGATAACTTAACAAATTTTTATTCTTTGGTCCATATTTTTGGCATTGTATTAACTATCTTGCTAAACACTTGAGCTGAACAGACTGTCTTTAGTTAACTATAATAGTCTTGGAAATATTCTTGAAGCATATCAGCTTGCAACCTGCTCTTTGATGAGCTTGTTTCACTGTCCAAAGAGGTAGCATTAGTGTCAGATTCAAATTGTCCATGGTTTTGTGCAATCATTCAGTGCTGCTTGATTGATCAGATAATCCTTCAACTTTTGACACCCTTTGTGTGGAATCCACAGGGTGTAAGATGAGCTGTTCTTTCTTCGTTTGACCAATTAAGTCTTTTCCAGCAATCAGCAAGCAGTTTCCTGTTTTTTGTGGGACATGCTGAGTCAATGATGTGACAATATGGTTGTCAGGATGCTGAATACCTGCTCCATGGAGGAATTAGAGTCAGAGACAGACACATGGCAGAAGCTCACAAAAAGGGAAAGATTTGAGAATTTGTGCTTTTGTCAGTACTATCCCAGTCTTTGATTCAATCCAGGTCATGTTTTTGAAGACAACTCTGTCGTATGAAGAAAAGCTATTGCAAAAAAGGGGGCATAAAATATCTGCCAATTAACACTTAAAACCTACAATTTGAAGGTTTTTCCACTCAGGGGCAGATCCAGAGCAAATTTGAAGGAGGGGCAGTCAATAGTAGGGGCGCTGAAAAATTTTCAAAAATTGATGACGAGAGTATGCTGTATATAACAATTTCAGATCCATTTTCTGAATAAACAACACAACTTTGAGGTAATCCTTGAAACAAATTAACCTATCAGTCTCAAAAACTTTTTCCCTGATTCCCATTCTTCAAAATGGGCACTCAATTTCCAAAGAAGAGATGCCAGACTTGCTTCAACTCGTTGAGGGAGGGGCAACTGCCCCTAGCTGCCCCACCCCTTAAATCTGACACTGTTTCCACTTTATATCTAACATCACTCATTTGCCCTAACTCCTGAAAAAAGAACTCTTGATATACCAATTGGCATCTCTCGTGAACAGACTTGGGGTAATTTGATGCACTTGAATGGTATCACCGTCTTGTGGAACACGAAACTTGGCTAAGTAGCTGCTGAGAAAGTAATCCGAGGATGAAGCATTCTCTATTATCCCTACTAGGGTGTTGATTGCTTTCTCTACAGCTAGAAGATTTCAAAAGCCACCAGGTCATGTTTTTTGAAGATAATGGAAAGTTGGCCAAGGATTTCAAGGCAATTAGGGTAACCAGCAATTTTGAAGAGGAATTGATAAAGATTCAACTTTCAACAATCTTTGCTTTGGTTTCTGGTGTGTATCCTTTGAAGAAGCTAGTGCTTTAATGCTACAATGTATGATGGCCAGTTGTGCAGAAATTTGGCTATCCCTTTCTTCTATGGTTCAGGAATCAGGCTCCATATATTCTAAGAAAAGTGTATTGAGTGACATCCAAGTGTTGAAGATGCTTTCCCGAATTTTTGAAAAGGCTCAGGAGATTCTTATATCAGGAGTCAATTTCTCGGAATGGTGTGCCAACTCAATGTGTTGATTGGTGGAATGGATCTTCATCAACTAATCATGCTTTTGCTACACACTTGATTTGTCACAGAAGAGTCTTTGGAACCAAAAGTTTTGGCACCAAGCATGAAGTGTGCCCATCATAAACTCTGCACTTTGGCTTGCTTGCTAAAGGCTTAGCAAAGGTTATCAAATCAAGGAGAACCTAATAAAACACACCTTGATAAGCTCCCAATTCAATTCAAACACTTTTTTAAAGACATGATTAATGACATGACATGATCAATTACTGCACACAGCTTTCTGATTCAAAAATTAAAGCTACAAGCCTGACACAAACTACTTTCAATATTTCTTCATATACAAAACAAAAAATCAAAAGCACTCCATCACACTCTTACCATAGAACATTTTTCAAAAAGAAAACATTTTTCAAAGCCATTTCAAAATTTTGTACCACAGAAGACTGCTGCAGTAAATAAAATTTATGCTAATCTGTTTTTTATAAAATGTTTACAGATTTCTTTCAATCCAAGCAAGTATTGCAATCAAGGGTAGGAAGAGAACTGACATTGCATACTTTTCACTTCAACAAACAACATTAAATAATGCTCAAAAACGCATTGCTCAAAAAGGACCTAGCCTAATATCTAAGATATTACGGTGATAAGATCCTGAAAATACCTTGAAATCAGGAGGATTCAAAGTTGGGCTTGGCCACTCAACCTTTCTCTGTTCAGCTCTTTCTAAAGTTGAAATAGATTGTCTTCCTGATCTGCATAGCAAGCAAGATAACTGACATTCACCCTCTTCATGTACCTGCTTTAAAATGAGAGTTTGGCATAAGATGAAATAAAACTGGTTGATGATATGATGAATTATTTCGTCAATTTATTGCAACATTCAACTTTCTTAGCGCCCCTACAACTGTTACATCTACATCTACATCGATACTGAGCAGGACCGAGTATCGGTATAATGCTCAGAGTGCAAGAAATAATGAAATAAAAGTTTAACGGATAAAACGTGCTAGAAGATGCCACTGATCAATGATTAGATTGATTGAACATTTACATGTCAAATGAGAAGCTGTAATTTTGTTTGTCGGCAAGACCAAATTCTAACTGTTATATTTTAAAGGCTTGATATAATCTTAATTTAAATACACGTTACTCATCAGCGGAAAATTATAGCTTTGACTATTTGATTTGTGCATTATAATACAGTTATGGCGCAATAAAGCTTCTAAAATGTCAAAATAGTCCAATATCAAATGTCAAAATAGTCAATCTGCAATCTATTATTAATGCACATTGACCAAAAATATGGTTATTACGCGCAAGTTCGTTATAAATAATGTTTCCACATGATCTAAGAATCACATAATTTGTGAATAAAACGGGACAACTCACCTTCCTTGGCATCCTCTTTGTCTAAAAACCTTCCCGCGATTACTTTTTGTCGAACGTGCGTCTCTTTTGATGCAGCCTCTTTCGAAGACTAACAACAGCAGCAACAGCCATATTGAGAAGATTGTTTCAGTAACTTAAAATAATCACTTATTGGGAACGCCTTATGTACTTAACACTGGTACATGATCAATTTTTCATGAGAAATTTCTCCTTGGGAATTGTCCCCCTAGTTAGTATGTTGAAAAAGGCTCTGTGCATACAAGCTTCTTAAAATTGGGGAATTCCAATTCTTGTAGAAAACCACCAACTTGTAAGTTGAACAAGTATGGTTGGAATCTAACGAAAATGAGTTTTAATCATTCTTGGGCTTCCAATTTTGCCTTTGATCGGAGGACCCCAAGAGAATAATACGAAAATGGTAACCCTTTCCTAAACTTTGGTTTCTTTCTCTTCTGCCAAGATTTGGTTTCTTTCTCTTCTCCAAAAAATGTGGATGCATGCCTAAAGGGTTGCAAGACGAAATTTAAAAAAGAAGGCCATACGAATGGCCAGCTTAGGCCAAATTGCGCATAAAAAGGCCAAACCGAAAAATTTCACTGCACAAGTGAACTTTATATTTCCATCCAAGGCCTTATGAAAAGTTTTCTAAGCAGAAACCGGGAAACTTTCGCCACAAGAAAATTATTCGCTAATTATACCTTAGTCCCTTCAAATTTAGCCTACCTTCAATTTTGGCTCCCTTTAATTTTCGTCCCCTTTTGTGCACAAATTCGCTCCCTTTAATTTTCGCCCCTAACCTAATCAGTTTCCAAGCAATGAACGTTCAGGCGGCATTGAACTACACTCGGGCCTCTGAAAAATATCATTTTGCTTGGAAACCTTTTGCTGAAAAATCGCTTTTGCCATTTTTTCTTGAATTCTGGAGGCTCTTTAGAAGGTCGTGTACGAGACAACAAGTATAGAAGATCGCCAATTCCTAAAGGTGGACTCGAAATACCGATTGTACTAATCATTAATAAGGATAAGGCGCAAAGTTCTGTCTTCAATCGAATGAAAGAATATCTGCAAGACTACTATATTGAGCCAGAGAAGATGATAGTATCTTCTGACCAAACTGAAGCCGAGGAGAGATTGGCCGCTGATGATTTGGACGAATATGGCCCTGAGGAGGAGAACACTTTGGAAATGGAAGAGCAAAATCACCCTTCGGACATTGGAGAGGACAATATTATCGTTATCGAAGATTAATGGATTTTATTTTGAACTACAGTAAGGCCCCTTAAAAAGACATAAGTTTATCATCTTTGTCAAAATTTTTACGATTAAGAAATCTTTTTTATGACCTTCAGTATGGATATTTTCCCAGAAAGTCACTAAATGAGAACTGTAACAATGAAAGCAATCAACGCAGGATGAAAATTTGACGCACGCAAAGATGGTAGCTTGAAGTTTTCTTGAAGGGCCTAAAAACTAAGGTTGTATTATCGAAAATATATTTTTTAAGTTCCCTTTAATTTTCGCTCCCTCTAATTTTCGCCCTATCAAATATTTCCATAATTGGCCCCCTTTAATTCTTGCCCCTCTCCGGAGCGAAAATTAAAGGCAGGCGAAATTAGAAGGGACTAAGGTACATAAAGTTATTAATAACATTGACATTTGGGTTCACATTGTGAACCATTGTTCTTTCCACTTAAATTCTTTTGTTCCTCAGGGTATTAAAGTTTCTATAAAGCGAAGGGATGTCCTTACAATGTCTGCTGAAAAAGGTCAAATTTAAGATGTAGGCAATTTCTCCAGGAAATTTGGCTCTAGAAAAAAGCCAAAATTCAACAATTTAGCCTGAAAAAAACCTGCATGCCCACGGTTTTTAATATAAAGGAAATAACTTTTCTCAAGTTAGAGATTTGAGTAAAATGTTTCTTTTTGAGAAACTTACTTGTTCCAATGAAATTAGAGCATTCAAGTTTGATACTTAAGACTGCAAAACCAGGAACATTTGAAGAGTTAGAAACAATCATTAATAGAGAATTGCAAACCAAATATTTATCCATTTGATCTAAATGTAAATCTATATACAGCAAGCATAAAATGAAGGGATTTATTTAGGCTAAAACACTTTTCTGCTGTGCTTATGAATCAGAAATTGATTTTTTAAACTAATGATACAAGCAATAGAGTTGGGTTCTACTCTACAAAAGATGTATTGAATGGGTAGCAAAATTTAATTTCTTTACTGGTAGGGGCTACAGCGAACAAATTATATGAAACTTCTTGGCATGAATAGGCTTTCTAGAATATTTGTGAACACTTCTAAAATATCGAAAAATTTCCATACTGTAAGTATGACATTTATTATACTTAGATTCTTTTTCCTGTAGTGTAAACAGGGTCTTAGCCTACGATGCTACCATTTGCAACAGCTTATTATCTTAGATTCAAGGTTATTATCAATATTCTATATTTAAGTCTTTGACATAAAATTCATTCAATTATCACGTGAACCCAAGCAATATATCTTCTATATTAGCAATCCCTTCATTTCTTTAGATACTGAGAGACTTCTTTATTGACAATATTAAACAAAAATCAAGCTTAACTGATATTGAATCTGATATTTACAACCACACAGAGGAAAAAAATTACAAACAAGGGTACCAAATATGTACAATAAAAAGAACACCAAACCACGAAAAACCTCTTTGCTTGATAAGTCCAAATATTCTTAACGATTCAAATGTCTAAAAATCAAGTGCACACATCATAGCCACCCCACGCTTGATCCAGTGTTTCTGGGGCTTTGAGGTTGGAAGTTCGATGGAAATAACAAAATTTGTCGAGTGGCCAGTTGTTGATAGCGTGCCTGGGAAAAAACAAAGAGACACAGGATAATTAGAGATAGTTGACGATTAGAATATCAAAATTAGAGATAGCAACGAAATTTAAATATCAAAAAACGGATACAAAACCTTGACGCAAAGAATTTAATGTAAGGCGAAAGTAAAAATTCTGACTCACCAGCTCTTGTCAATGTTTTGTAGACCGGAGAATCATAAATACCGGACTCCGGTTTAACACGGTTTGCTGTTGGCTTCATCCATATTACCGGAACATCTGTGTAAAGCTCTTTGGCCCTACTTTCAGTAAGCTCGTGTCTCTCAAAGTCCCACCGAGCTCCTTCGAGAAACAAACCTTTGATATAGCAGCCCTCATTGGGTCGCTCTTTCAGTTGGTCTTCAGATTCTCGTTTGACCTTTAATGACAAGATATGGATAAGTTAGGCATATATCCAAACATGTTACTGCACTAACGGATATGTATATATTCACTTCTTAAAGACATGTAGTGTATATTTATTGCGATAAAATAAGATGTAAAAACACAAAAAAGATGTAAATTTTTTCTGTAGGTGTGGTAAAAGTTTGGCAAAGTTTGTAGCATAGGCTCAAGCATTTGTTTAAAAAGCGGTGTCTAGACATTTCTTTTGAACAGCTAAACTTAATTATCTTAATATTCAAAAAATCCCATGTAGCCAAACATGTCTGGCATCCCCAAGAAGTGAACTTTAAAACTGTTGTTGTCCGTAAGGGAATTCTAAAAATTATATCAATGATCGGGTTGTTGTTACTTTTCCTGGCAACCAGTAGGATTGTCTTTGTCTGCAATTTGATTTAAAATTAACCAAGAGAAAACATGCTTTTTATGTAAAATAGATTATGTTTTACATGCCAAAGAAAAAATGAGCATAATACGGTTCACATATTATTCGTTTGGAATGAAAGGAAACAAAGCTTATGATGGAATATTTTGAAACTCACTTCAAAATCAAACGAAATTGTGTCGATTGAGATTTTTCCAGCTCTTGCAAAATTTTGCAAAGTGCCTGTTAAGAATCCTTGGGGAAAGAAAAAACCCGAGATCCAAAAGACCTGTGGTGGAAAAAAATTAAAAATGTAATATTTGAAAATTTTAACACTTTAATTGCAAAACTTTAATTTAAGTTAAATTTTAAGTTTAATTTTTTTTGTGCCTACCAAGAAAATAGCTTATCATAACCTGATCAAGTAATACCTTCATTGTGACATTACGTTTCTGCCAAAGCACGATAATCAATTATATGATTTTGATTGCATAATCATGATTGCATGATTATGAATGAGTTGTCATAGCTGCCTGATTTTGAATGCGTAAATATCCAAGTAATACACACTAACTATGCTGAAATCAGGTCATTAGCTATAAAATCAGCTATCAAACATTGGTTTATCAATGAAAATCGATGAAATGATTTCTATACGTTGGACTCATTTCGAAGAAACTTTTCCCAAAACAGCTACTTGAATTTAAAGCAGTATGCTAAACGAAGCACACTATAAAGACAGTGTGTGATAAATTAGACAAAATTAGGTTTTCGTGTTAAGACACTCACTAAAAAACATATATGCAGTCATGATGGAGTAAAAAGGTGAGAAACACATGTAATAGGATTTTAAAAAAGGCATAGTCTTGGACAGCCTATACTAATATTTCATTTGAGCGGCCAAAGCGTTGAGAAATAACATACAGGCATTAAGAAATAACATACAGATACTTGAACGTCTAAAGCTATTTATTACCTAACTAAACGGCGAGTTGAAACGTTTATAAGGCCATGATACACGAAGCAACAAAAAAGAAATTCTACGAGTTATTATATCTATACATGGGAATTTATGCTCCAATAAATGCTCTAATAATTGCTATTAACAGCGATTCAATCTCGATTTTGAAATTACCAATCTTAGCCACTACAGATAAGGTACTTACAGATGGTATGCCATTATCAATCCAATCCTGGATGAATTTAATTCTCTTAGTTAAGTCGGTGACCCAGGAAGCTAGCGGCTTCAGTGATGGGTATGCCTGTATAGGAATAAAATAACTACTGAAGAAATAAAGTAAGACAGATTTGTTGGAGGTATAGGCTAATATGTTGTGATAACATAATAATCATGCCTATCAAAACACGAGAAAAAATTTAGCAGAGGTAATCCGTATTGCAAGATACGCTGCTTTTATTTCATTGGAATCTTTAGCATCTGAATGATATTTTGAAAATCTCAAACTCCAGTTAAAGCATGGAGCTAAAAAAATCAAGCAACCATTGAATCTGTCTCTAGGTAAATGCTAAGAAAAGCTTCAAACAGGTGCATTTAGAAGTGTGCCATTCTGCGTTCACTCTCATTTGAAGCATAAATCCTGATCAAGTCACAAATATAAACACGATAGTGAATCTAGCCAATCAAAATAAACCTGTCAATCAACAATCAACCAATTGAATATCGAGTTGTGATCTTGACCAATCAAAATAAAGGCTATATGACTGGTATTTGTCACGTGATAAAGAAGCAATCTTTATAGCGCCTACAGTGACTTTGTATTTCGCAAAGTAACCCGATAATGAATGGTCAGTCAATCATCCACTTACCTTGCTTGCCCAGAGTTCAGGGACCTGATTGTTAAATAGTTTCTCTGACATGGTCTCAAGCTGCTGCGACATGACAACCAAACCTTTGATAGCCTTGAGCAAATCACGGAGCGAGTCCTTGATGGTGGAAAGCAGTTTGTTATAGCGCAGAACCTCTTGAACTAAGACTGTATTCATTGACTCCTCGTATTTGACCGGGTATTTCTCCGAAATCGGTTCTATGGGAAGTGGATCCGATACGAGCTGCAAAATGTTTCGGGCACTTTCTTCAAGCACCTGAAATAAAAAAGATTGTTGCAAACATAAAATTTGACTATTTGAGAATTTTTGTTAGGAATAGAGCTCACGTTTTAATAGAAAGACATAAGCCAAATAGGTAAAATAAGCCAAAGATTTATTTTATATCTGACAGCTTACTTTAATTCTCACCAGACAAAGCTAGCTTATTTGCAAGAGCAAGTCCTTAAAATTTAAGCAAACCTTTCAAGGCACGACGGTACAAAAGATCTTGGCCTAAATTTAAACATTTAATACATCACAGATAGAACTCATGTAATGAAAAATACTTGATAGGGACAGATATAAATACACTAAATAACTATACTGTACAATATCATGTAATCTAGCATATATTTTCAATGTTTAGGTACCTCCTCCCGTGATCTTCCTGCACCTGCAGCTGATTTTGGTTGCAACAGTAAAATGCCATTCAACAAACTGAATGTCTCGTTCTGGGCAAATGTTATGTTTGCATTCTCGTGTAGACTGAATATTTCAGGTGTGTCGTTGATTGGCAGCCTTTTTATGTACACCATAAAGGTCTGAAAAGTAAGAGTGGTGCAAAATAAATTAATGGGAATTATGGGATGAGAAGAAAGGATAGGAAGGGGAAGGGAGAAGAGAAAGAGAGAAAGAAAAGTAAGGGAATGAAGAGAAGAAGGCGAAGGAGAGGAAGAGGAAGGGGAAAGAGACGGAGAAGAAAAAATGGAAAGTAGGAAAAGTAGGGAAGGAAGAAAGCGAATAATGGAGAAGAAGGGAAGAAGAAAGGAAGAAGAAGGAAAGATAAAGGGAAGAAGAAGGGAGGAAGAAGGGAAGAAGAAGGGAATAAGAAAGGAAGAAGAAGAGGAGAAAATTGATAAAGTAGAAGGATGTTTAGAACGAAAGGGTGTTTAGAATGAAAGTTAGAGTAAGGAAAAGGAAAAAAAGCCAAAAATAGGAAAAGCCTTCAAAGAAATTCGTCAGGAAAAGCCTTCAAAGAAATTCTACCAGAGTTGGAGTTTCTTGTTGTTTGTACATATGCAGAGAAAAGTAACTATGGTTCTCAATACAATATTACCCACCTCATGGTCACTTGTTGGTTCGAGCTGATGATAAACGCCCGACGCATCATATTTATGGTTCGGAGTAAAAACAACTTGTTGATAATAGTCATCCAGGATGGTCATGATACACCTTCTGTCCCAATCATCAGTAACGCGACCACCATAATTTATATGACCCGCTGTGTATTTCAAGACCTGTATACAATAAAACATCCAAAATTAGGTATATAGACTATAAAGAAAAAAATATCAAGTAAGAGTAAGGCACATTAGAAAAGGTAAAGGAATAGAAGAAAGTCTAAAAATTTTGAAGTGGGTAGCAAGTTACACTTGCAGTTGTTTGAAAATCACCAAGTACATCTTCTGTAGGACCTTTCTGAGCTTTTAGTGAAAAGTCACGAGAAAAGTAAGTTTTCTTTGAAATTAGAGAATAAGATGCTGTTTATATGCGGAGGCTAGTCTCAATAAATAAAACATTCCTCTTTGGCATTGAGACACTGCTTAATGTACCCTTTTTCTGCCTGCTTAAGAAAACTGTCGTCACAATAACAAGACAACGTCGATCAATTGGCTGCTGAGAGTGGAAAAGAGCTAACTAACAAAGCAACGCATAAGAGAACTTTTAAAATAACTTTTATACAAAGTTTAGGTGAATTTATTAATCAGAAATCGATGGTAAATTATTGAATTACCGTCGATTCTCATTCGCAAAAAAATTCTTTGGGTTACTACGTAGAATTGTAATAGGCAGTATAACGATGCATATTTCAAGTGCCTTACCATCACAATTTATCTCTTCTAAAGGAAAGGGTTTTGGTATTGCAATAAAGGGAGAATCATCGATGCGATAATACGAGCATTATGGATGCAATATTTGATGCAGCAAAAAATATAGCATCAAGCTATAAAACAGTGAAAATCCTAGCATCTTGCAGAAAAAGCTCTACCGTTCAAAATTTGGCAGGTCATGCAAAATTTGAATTGTTTACATATGTGTAATACCAATTACCCCTAAAATATTCCAGCTGGACTTCTTACATAGTACTTTTCCTGCATCTATTTATTCGCGCAGAAATTTTCCTGCATAAACCCAAATAAACTTTTCCAGACAATGACAATGGGAAACAAAATCTTAGGTCTGTGATTCGATCCAGTTCGTTTCGAAATATGCGGACACATGTTTCACTAATATTTGCATCGTTTTAACGAGGCTTTAAGATACTCCGGGGATTCACATTAAGAGCAATAATTAAGAAGAACAGAAAAGGTATTTTGAAAGATGTAGGAAACATAAAGCTATATACTTTGAAAGGTATTTCAGGGTATTCATCAAGAAACATGCTAAGTTGGCTGATACATATTCGCAGATCTCCATTTGTGAACTCGTATGGAATGTTAAAACCAAGCGGACCATATTTTCGCCTTTCCAATGTCACACCGTGGAACAGGCACAAGGAGAAGAGCAAAATCTTGAATTCTGAGGTCTGTAAAAAAAGAGTAACCACAGCTTAAGAAGTAAAAAGTTTTAGACAAAAAGTGGCAATACCGTTTTCTAGAATCTAGGTATATGTGAAAATATCAAGGAGACTCAGCTTAGAATAACCTTAGCAATAAATCGCCTATTTCAAAAAATCGCGATGTCGACTTATTTATTGAAGAAAACATTGCTGTATCGAAAACCAAGTTCACACAAAGACCGTATTTTCAGTAAGGGGGAGGGGGGAAAGGGGAAAATTACTAGATATCATATTATGAAATAGGAAGACTTCAAGTTTTGTTATGAGCTTTACGTTTTAAGTGATACAAGAATTTTTATCTATTTTGAAATTCTTACACAATTGAGTTGTTTTGAAGAATGTTAGAAAGTAACTTACAAATTACACACAACATGTATACCGTTTCTAAAAAAACCTTACCTTCTGGCAAGTGGCAAAGAAATCATCACTAAAGGAGACATAAGTTCGAAGAAGATTGGCCTTGATTCCTCGCGGGGGTTCTACAGTAAGCTTCGATCCATTTTGCAATATCGACACCGGAAACTTCGGGCTTGGCATACTAGTGAGCCATAGGCGGAAGTCTCTGTGAACCTTGAGAAAAACAACGAGATGTTAACTTATCGAAGACTGCAATGCTTGTCAAAATTGTTGGAATACCTACAGAAAATCTTGATAGTTTTATTTAAATTATTTTCCTTTCCTAAAAATGTTTATTGATATCAATAATGCATGATTTTCAGTGACAATCTAACTAAAATTGGACGAATAAACAGTTCTAATGATGGAAACGACATTGTACGGAAGAGAGAAGAATTAAACTCGGGGAGGTATTTAAATTCTCTTTTTGTTAACTTTTAAATATGAACATCGGGGTGCTCTAATTTATTTTGGTGAGGATTATAGGTATGTTGATACACTAGTGAAAAAGAGATGCTAGTTAATCATAGACAAGTAAATTATAATTAATCATCGAGGAAAAATTCATCAAACACGGTACAAGCTGGGTCCGAGTGCTATGGTACTAGGGACTGTACCGTATACAAAGGGGTATGGTACTGGTAGACTCAAAGTACCAGGTGCAAAGCTTATGTTTCAACCACAAAAATCATTAGTCGAATTGTTTTGTTTACAGTTCAGTAAAGGTGGGGATTAGAACTTTCTATCTTTAGATTCGCGTGTTAGGGTAACAACTGCTACCATTTTGGATTCATAAAAATTTTCATAACAATGTCTCGGGTCATCATCAAAATTGCAGATGTTTAAAACACAAATTATTATTCACCAAAATCTATGGCATAGAAATGGATTAAGCGGGAATTGTTTCAACTAAACATCCTTAATATTCAGCAGGAGATAAGGTGAAATAAAGTCATTTGGTTAATTGGAACAGACTAAAGGATAGAATTCCTGATTGCTGAATTGAAGAAAGTCTAAAGAAATGTAAAGTAAAGATGATCTTAATACAGCCTAACTGTTAGAATACAAATAATGTGGTTATTGGTTGCGTTGGTGCAAAATCACTGCAAGCATCAAGGCTTTGACTGAGCATTGTCTAGAGATAGTCTGTGCTCTTATATACTAATCTGGAAAACAGTTTAAGAGATAATAAAAATAAACTCTTAAAGCTACGATTTCGGTCAACTGGAAAAATTTATAGCCATTTCGGAAAAGTATTGAAAAATCGACAAATCCACTGTGAAAAGGTTCTTCTTACCTTGTCTGGATCGATATGCTCGATCAGTCTCTCTAGCGTGGGCATCCAACTTGGAGACAAATGACAGTTTTGGAAGAAAACCCATTTACCACGCTCCATTGCACTTGCCATCATTGTCTCGGCTCTAGGCCCCTACGATGCAATGATTTAGGCCAATAAAGATCTAGGACGTTTGGAGTTGGACTTCACTACTCTGTAACAGTCACTTTGGCAACGAGTACCCTAAACTCTCCCCCGGACCTCTAGCAAGAACCGACATTTCGTATACAAAACGAAGAACCCTAAAATGAGTATTGGTTGGTAAAAGAGTCGACTTAAACCAACAACATAGCATATATGAAGCTATAATGCAATAGGTCCTCCCCATCTTGATACCATAGCTACGTTAGTATGTTTCAATTTTGTAAAGATACTAGAATGTCTATCAACTAGTCTCACCAATTTGAATCTTTGAAACTATACGTATTATGGATTCTTGAATATGTTAGAAAGGTTATTATTTATAAATTTCGATAAAGAATGAGGATAAATATAATTACAGCCCTGATGGTAGTTGTTAATGAAAAAAGAGGTCATCTTTTAGGAAAACATAGGTTTTGTCTTATTTAGAAAAATAACTAGAACATGCCAATAATTGGTTGCAGCGGGCTTTGTTTTTTCAAATAGATTTTACATGCTTTTGTTGTTACTCTCTTTGTGAAAGTCACATTGTTCTTATAAACTTAGTTGGAAGGGTTTTTCATTTCACGCAATCGCCTGGTAATTCATGGTTACAATTGAATAACAAAATCAACTTACTTGGCCCTGGCCTAATGAAATGGCACTGAGTTTCTTTGAGAATCGCATTTCTTCAGCAAATTTGTAAACATCGGCAGCAGGGTCTGTACCAGGGGACAGCACGAATATCAAAGGTGTAACTGGGGAGGAATCTTTGAAAACCAGGGATAAATCAGTAGTCTGTTGAAGGAAGAACAATATCTGCTTGAACTAAGTTCACCAATACAATTTTCATCATGAAAAAGGACGCATTGCAGTTAAAAATGCACATTTTAACAGCTGAGAAATTAAACAAGGAAGATATCTTGAATTTAGGAATGAATCATCTGAAGTCTACTTTCAAGAAATGCAGTCTTAAGTTATTATATGCTGGGTATAAATATTTCCTAGCGTAGAGTTCTCGATCTATTTTCTGAAGTTTAATACTCTGATAGAGTGTCAGACAAAAATTTTTTTGCTGGAGATGAGAAAAACCAACGTGTCAAAAAATTCAGAAGGCAAACCTGTGGCTCGATAAATCTTTGTCCTAGTTGGTTGGCAACAAAGTCCTAAAAGATAAAGTGAATGCAATAATGACATTTATAGAAAAAATTTGATCTATGAATGGATATCAAATATGGTTTAAGCGTTTGATTGGCTGGATAAAAAGATATAAAAAGCAAAAAGCAGAATTGAGAAGCTGAAGAACAATGGAAAATAAGCAGGAGTTACAAGCCTTGGAAGGCTGAAAGATGACTGGAAGATTTAAAAAAAGTATAATAAAACAATACAGATTCGAAATCTCAGATAAAGAAAATTTTAGAAAGAATATGTTCATTGATGAGAATGAAATAAATTAGCAAACCTGCATGGCATTCGTGACTTTGTCAGCTCGTAAGCATCGGAGAACCAGAATCTTCTGAAAGGCATCAAGTTCAGTATCCCACGTTCCAGGAAGAGGTTCCCTGGAGAACAATTTTTACAAACTGTTAATCAGGAATGATTTATTAGGAAGCTACTGGCTGACTAGAAATCATGGCAATTATTCGTCTTGTAATATAAGCGTGGTTTGAAGGAGGAAAATTGATTTAGCTATGAGTAAATTATATCATTTCATTATCTCATTTTGCTCCTATCTTGCAAGCAAAGAATTTTTCTAACCAATTTTTTTGTCACAACATAAATTTTAACTGAGAAAGCATAAAATAACCTTGAAAAATGTATTTGTGCACGTAGTTTAAATATCTTGAAAAATTATTTTTGCAAGCCCCTATTCTTTCTTTGTTAATAGATAGGGAAATTTGTGCCATACCTGTGCGGATCACCACTGTCAAAGATGTTCTTGAAACCGGCTAAATGGTTTGAGAAATCGTCTGCAAATTTTGCAAACTTTGGCTATGAAATATTATAAAAAAGGATCAGAAATCCAGCCGAGAAAAGCGTAATTAAATATGTATGCAACAAAAGAATTAACGCGAGTTAAGTTATAAAAATATAATGTCTATTTGAACTAGAATAGTTAAGAAGACTATAGATTAAACATTATTTTTCCTCAGACTTTACCAACTAGGTGCTGAGTCATTTTGCCTTTGTTTAGTCTTGTTGCACTGTAGTAAATCTGTTTCTTTACTTTTCTTCCAATTTCACACAGCTAAACTCTTTTCCCAAAACAGTGCTCCTCACATCACAGTAAATTGCCAAAACACCTTAGGAAGGATCTCTATATTTACTCTGAGTCAAATTTCCCACAGAGGAAACAAAAAACTTTAGCATTACGAGTATCAAAACCCTTACCAAATTAGCTAGCATGAGAATTTCCCTCCAAGATCGTTCAGACAGCCAGTCCTTCGCAGGGTTTTCAGATTCTTTGGGAATAATTGTTCCACCAGCTAGAAGGAATCTCCACTCGTCCTGTTGATGAAGATTTGATAATGTAAAACAAGATTTATAAAAGAAGAGAAAAGTCTAGAAACAATTTCAACAAAAATTCTAACATAAATTGTCAATTAAAAAATTATGTGTATTCTCAAACTGTATGTAGACTGATTCTATTACGATGATTTTAATAAAAAAGGCCTAGAAGTTTCAGATAGGATTAAAAAACAGTTTGCACATTGAGACCGGCTATAAAGACAGTATTGTTATAATACCCATGCATATGGAATACGGAAATGACAATATGAAGATTTCCACAAGAAATACCAACATATTATCAACTTTTGCCAAAAAATCGTAACGATTCAAAGACAATAAATAAGGAGAAAAAGTGACTTGAAAATTGATAAGGAATTAAATGTTTCATACTGAAACAACTGAAAATGGCACGAAATAGCAATAACATGGCATACTGAAGCAATTTTCTGAAGAGCGCCGGACGAAAAGTGTTTCAGTATGCCATGTTTCCGATACTTCGAGCCATCTTCCAATCAAATCTTCGCCTGCAGTGAGAGATTTACAAAAAAGGAGAAAAGGCATATGTACAATAAAATGGAAGTCAAACAGTTGAGTAACGTGTTCGTCTCGAATGTTTCTAGAGCAGATAAAATTGTGCAGGTATACCCACCATGTTGATTTTATTTTCGTTCATCAATATACGAACAGTGACCAAGAATGCAAATAATAGCTTGTGCTTTTCAAACAAACTTCTGCAGACATTTGAATATAAACTGAAGGTGAAATAATCATTGATGTTCTTGATCCTCTGCATAACATTATCTAAAAAGATTGAAAGTCAAACACTGATTAGTGATCGAGAATGTGATTAGAAATGGTGCGAGGATGGCTCAGTTGTTAGAGGCGCTGACTACAGACCCAAGGGTCCGTGGTTCGAGTCCCTGGCATGACTAAACTCTCACCCAGAGTGAGAAGAGTCGCCAGCTCTCTGTAATTCCAGGCGTAGGAATCACGAGGTGTGGTCACATCGAGAGGAAGGACCAGGACACTGCTCGATAAGCATAGCTTCTCAGTGTCCTAAAAACTACCTTCGGATGCTAGGTAGCAACAAATACAAAAATAAAAATTAATATGTAAAGTAACAATATACTTCAGGTTTTTTTTGGGAGAAGAAAATCATTGCTATTTCAATTTCTGCTGAAACTAGAGTTACGTTTAGCACCTCAAGCCCCCAAGGCCTTTTAAGCTTCCATTTTTAGCAGTTACATAATTCTTCTTCATCAAATTTTGGCTCTGTGCATGGAAAAAACTTGACAAGAATCCCGCTCACTATTCACATTCTATGAACATCTTGTGCTAGTGACAACCAGTGACTTGCAAAACCAGATGGCAAAATATAAAGTAAAAGATCGAATAACAGCAAAAATTATTAAATAGGACAACATTTAAACTGGCCACTGTTTCTCTTTTAGGACCTTTCACCGTCATTGCAATAGAACAAGATGAAAACTAGTGTCGAAAGTCTGTCTAAAGTGAAACAGCTGCAAGGCTGGCGTAGAAATTGTAATGTTTTCCAAAGCAGTGGATAAACACTATCTACTATTCATGAAGGCAATACAAAGAAGGTGTAGACGAGAATAAATGTTTTAAGTAAGAGAATGAAGGATGATTTTACCTGCTGCATCGGCATTGGCGATGCTTTTTAAGAAGATATTGACAAACCATTCAAGTGAATACTGATACATAGGGTCAATGTTGGCCTAAAAAGAGAATATTAACAACAAATGAGGCACTTTTTACCTGTAAAACTCATGTTAGAAAGCAAGCGAAAAAAATGAAAATTAAAGAAAAGGTGCAATTATACAATGAAAGACAATTTATCTTCAGAATCTAATGATAACAACATTCCAAGAATAAATTGTAATTCCTATTTTTCAGAACTATGTCAGTAGACGCTCTTACTACCTTGTATTTTGTTCTAAAAATACATTCTTGGAAAAAATTACATAGAACTTAATTAGATATAGCTTTGGCGCAAAAAATGAAAATTACAGCAGAGAACTTGACATTAGTGTACATAGGTAGAAAAGTAGCAGCAATCTTCATGAATTTTGTACATGTAAGTTAAGGAAAAATAATAGATTGAAATAATCTTAAAAAAGCCATTATGCTACAAACTATGAGAAAAATATGAGGACAAGTTTGGAAAAACAGAAAATTATTTGAAGCAAACAAAATTTAACCGATCATTGGAAAAAGTCAACCCTTACCAGATCATATGTGCAGAAGAATAAAATCTGCGTTCTAACAGACACAGGGATGTACTGGCTCCTCGTCACATCAATATCCTTTTCTGTCTGCTCTGCTATCACAACTTTGGCCTAGAAGCAATTTCAAATTGACTGTGTATTGATTAAGTATCAAAACTTGCTGACAACTGGCAAAATCTATTATACAATGTTGAAAACGAAATCATGTTCAGGCACTGTTTCTAGCAATTTCTATGAGATTGGCGTACGATTTCTTGTAGAGTTTTGCATGTAGGGTGAATTTTGCATGTAGGGTGAACTCAAAAAACTTTTAACAAATCTTATGAAAAGTTGAAGCTGCTGAAAACCTTCAGGATTTCCTTGGGGCATGAAGAGTGTTTATCGCATTTTTGTTCTTATTGCAACAAGATAAACAATGCTTCACTGAAGTGATAGCTAAACCTGTGAAAAAGGGTCTTCACATGACAATGTATCTATTATCGACAAAGAATCGCGAAAGTAAAGGCATTCCCACATATTTTTAAAGCAAGAACGATTCAGATTTAGACAGGGGTCTCAGTTAAACTTACTTTGATTTCCTGCGACTTGATCTTAGATTGCTCCAAAGTATGAATCAGATCAATGTCATCCACAGGACTTCCTTCTGAGGAAGACAATCTAAGCAGAATCTTATCCTCGATTGCTTTTATATCTTGCTTCATCTTGGCATTGCTTATGATCAGCTGATTTTTTGCTTCCTCTAGATCAGGTCGCTCCTCTGCAACGACCAAGGCCAGTAGCTGATCCTCCAGACCACTACGAATGAAATAAAATGTTTTTCAAATACAGCAGACTAAAGAATTCGGTAATCGGCTTTAAAGAATTTGGTAGTATCCCTTTAAATGCTGGTACAGCGAAAGATTCATCAACCACCAGTATGGAAGATAACGGCATGACGAGACGACAAACCCATGTCAAAACATATCATCTTTGCTTAAATTGGGGATTGAGGGGGGGGGGGGGCGTAAATCACCATCCAGTTCCACAGAGACAGGCCCCCAGCGACCGGAGGCTAGAGAGGTTACGGTCTCCTTTCATTTCTTTGCAAAGGGAACAAAATATTTTTTCGCACAAAATTTTTGTTTTGAATCTAATTTGTCCTCGCCCCTTCCCCCGCCCACCTCTAAATTTGCTTCGAAGCCTATGATAAACGAAACGGAGCTGAACAAAAAGCAAAAATCTACTTCACTTACCTTGGAGACAATGTGAAGTTAACGATTGTTACTTTTGTCGAGACCTCAGGGGTATAATGTGGATTTGGTAGCTTTGTTGTGATGTAGAACGAGAAATCGTCATGATAGGGAATGATTGTGTCGCCTAGTTTGATCACAGTACTTCCTTGTTGCTTAAAAACCTGAAAACGATAAAATCATAATCCAAATATAGATGTGTTATTCTAAGACTTAATTACAAGTTAAAATAAACAATTTGCCTTCAGAAGATCTTTTGAACCTTTTTATTAACTTTTGAACAACTTATGTTTCATTGATCTAGAAAATTCTGTTGCATATTCTACTCGAGTCTCCTTTCCTAAAGAGACAAGGGGGCTTCAACACAAAATGGGCACAAAGAAAGGATTAGTCTGGCTAAAAGCCTTGTTGAAACTTGCCGGCAGCATACTAACCTAACACCACCCTTTTCAATATACGCGTACAAATACACGAGACGGCTTGAAGGAAATCAATTTCGCAACATTTCGTATACGAATACTGTAATGTAGATGCTTAGTTTTTATTTTATAAGGAATTTTGAAGCTACAGTTTTTTTCAGTTGTTTTGCTATTGCTGTTGTGAAACTCTTAATAGAGCCCTATTTTCAGGCAATAAAGCTGTGTAGCTCAGATCAATTAGAACTTCAGAATAATCGAAGATTGTAAAATGAGTCGAAAGGATAGTGTCCTGAACATAGAAATCAGTAAAATATCTAAAAGATGCAATAAATGTAAACTTCAAACATTTTGTAAAGAAACATCAGACACAGAATCAGAAACATCAACTTATAGTAACTGTGGTCTTGGTTAGACGTCCACCTCACCTGTTTCAGCAAAATGGGTTCCAGTGCTGGATCGAGCTCTTCACCTACATTTTCAAGCAGGCATGGTTTGCCAAACCTGACTGCATTTTCCAGACTGCGGAGGAAATCTCGGTCTGTCAGCTTGATGATGTCCAAGCCAGCATCTTTCTCCTAAAAGCAAAAAAGATGTACTTAATTTTGACATCAATAATAATATCTACGAAAATAGGGGAGCTGCCGAAAATAGTATGAAATTTAAAGGAAAGCGAAATATTCAATGATGGAAGGAAAAAAATTATATTTTTTTTTATATAATTAAATATATTTATATATTTATATTATATATATATTTACGTTTATATTTTAGATACCAGAAGAAGGAAAAAACTTCTAAAACTTGTCTGCCTCCCACACTGACTGCTCGGGAATGCTGAGATGGGAGATCCATGTATGTGTTCAAAAAACGCCAGGGTACGTCTGGATTTGAATATACCGAAATTGAGATTACTTAATATTTTCTTGAATATTTTCTTTTGGGAAAAGGCTAGTTTAAAACGATAGTCGCTACAAAGATCTTAGCAATTTGCTCAAGGCCCCATCAATGTTACTGGTGGCTTCATCTGTGAAAGAGCTAGCTTCCGTACATTGAGGATTGCCTTCATTTCAATGGTAACGTCGAAAATATTTTATTGAAAAAAACGTGATGATCAAACCTGACACCTGATCCATTTGTTTGCCTGCCCTTGAGGATCAATAAACAAAGGCCATCTCTTCGAATACTGGACAATTATACCATTATCGATGGATAGGGTATCCCGCGGAAGACCCGCGATTTGCCAGTTACGTATTTTGACAGGGTCTCCAAGAGTTCCAACCAGAGTGCAATTATCAGACAGAGGTATATTTTCTCGTTTAAGCTCACTTTTCCATTCTTCGACAAGATCGTTTCGATATTCACCCTAAAGAGAGTCGATAAATGAATTGTTAAAAAACGTTGGATGAGCTTCAGCAGAACAAAGAATTTGTAATGATACCTTACTTTGTAATAATACAGTAACAAAAACGATTGATAACATCAAGGAAGAAAACAATAAAAACGATAATTGTTTGGTGATAAAAGAAAAAAGGGCTATTTTGAAAATGCTATAAGGGTTTAAAGTATGTTTTCTTTTTACCAAAACGTATAAGAGAAAATCCGTTGATAACTGCGACTTTAACTACCTACTGCTTTCGGTGAAAGTGACTAATCAACGTACCAAAAGACTTTAAGACTCTATTGGCTATGTCGGAAAAATACTGTCTACGTGCAGCTTTCTTTGACACTTGAATATACTGACTTATTGACAGGTTGTTTGGTTGTAATCTTAGACCCCGTTAACACGAGAAAAACATGACCGGATTGGTGGCAGTTCGGGTCTTGTTTCGGGTCAGTTGTTTTCAAATAGGGCCTTTACCAGGACACTTCTGGTCATGGCTCCAAATAAAGCCTAAAGAAAACGTTGAGTGAAACCAACTCACCGTGAATACTCCAAGATATGCGATGAAGCCTGATGAAATAACGATATCTCCAACAATATTTACTAAGAGTTTATCGAAGTTCTCAACAGCTTCTTCCCAACGTCCTTGTTCGTCGCTGAGTCCACTGATGAGCTAAATGCAACAATAACGGGTACAAATGGAAACTTTTCATTTTCAATTCCAGTTAAAACTACAATTACAAATCTCACTATTACAAGGTAATTTGTAACTGGCTAGCCTTTTTTTACAAAATAAGACTATTACAATCGTAGTAAAGAGAAAAGAAAAGAAAAACGTTAAAAGGGGAGTAGCTCTGGGTTAGTCCATGTTTTGTTCCTACAGCAAAAAATGTAATAGGTGGTACGAATGGATATCGTAGAAAGCTTAGAAATGAGATATCGTTTGTGTTGATCTTCGATGGAAAGAGAGTCACACATTTCAAGGAATGAGCTGCATGAGTCGCCGAAGATGCCAAGAGAGCTGATGGAGAGATTTACAAATATCACAGATTTGAACCTTGGTCTTAGATCTGAGACAAGGCGAGCATATTTTGAACGTTTCCTTTCTGCATTGCAGTTAAGGTTAGTTTCAAATCCTATCGTTAGTTCCAAAACATAAAGAATGTTTTCCTTTGTACACAGAAGTAGATCTGGGCGCAGATTGTCTCCAGTTATGATGGATGGTGAGGAGAAGCCAAATATATCGGCAAAAAGAGAGGATCCCTCTATTGCTTTCAAGGAGGTTGCAAGAAAATTTAGAGCAGAATTATGACGCCAGGTATAACGACCTTGTTCGAGATAAACTTTGCAGCCTGCAACGACATGGAGTACAGTTTCGGGAAGAAGGCAGAATTCGCAATCAGATGATTGGCTTGGGTTCCAAAGGCTTAGATTTTTGCGCGTAGGGAGAGTATTGTTCAGGTACTTGATGGTGAAGTTGAAGATGTTCGTGGGTAGGTTGCTCTGCACAACAGACCAAAGACCATTGAGCTTTTTAAGAGAGTGGTCCAACAGAAATGAAATAATAGCACCCTGGGATAGTAATTGGTATGCCAAGCGCTCTCTACTGTCTGATTTTACTGCTTTCAGTACATCTTTGGTGTTACGGTAAATGTCGTATTGCAGATTCATCCCACTACTGGTGTTTTTCCATAAAGCTTGAATGTTTGTGTTAGGAGAAGTTCGGAGGGCATTGCGTGAAACAGTTTGGCATTGAGTGAATTTGACAGAAGGTAGCTGAAGATCGAGACCAAATTGATTTTTAGAAAGAACTATACTAGTTAAAGTAGCACTTATGGGAAGATCAAGCCACTGGCGAATGTATTTAGAGACAAGATTATCGAGGTTCTCAATGACCCAGGTCTTCGATAGGTCTGCAACAGTGAAGTGCCAAGAAACTTTGGACAATACATATCTGTGGTACAATAGAAGTTTATTTTTGGGATGCAGAGGCAAGTCATCAATTTCTTTCAGAAGGCTGGGAAACATTGATAGCAGTTTTTCTTTATGACTGCCATTGGTCATTTCGAAGTCAAAGAAGCGGCCAAGGTATTTGAAAGATTCTCCATTTTTAACAACAGGCACGCTTTGGTTGTTCACGAAAAGCTTTGGCTGGAACTGAAAAGATCTTGTTGAGTATTTCTTAATGCCAAAGGTGACACATTTATCAACCCTTATTACAAAGATTGCCCACTGACACCATCTTGTAAAGCAGTTTAACAGGAGCTGGTTCTCCTTTTCACCACTAGTAACAACCGCAGCATCATCAGCAAATTGGAACCAATGCACTGGCTGGAACATGCGATCGTTTTCGTCGTGGGGAGAGAAGCCAAGCTGTTTATATTTTTCTGCTTTTATGTATTGAATATACGTATTAAAGCATAGATTAAAGATAAGAGGGCTGAGGCAGTCACCTTGAAGAACACCACGACAAACGGGAATGGCAGGGGTTTGGAATGTATCTGTGAGGATAGAGGTCTTGAAGCCCGAATATAAGCTGGAGACCAGAGCCTGAATATGAGATGGTATATGATGGTACGAAAGAATAGTGGGAATCAAATTATGGTGGACCTCGCCGAAAGCATTTTTGAGATAAAGCAGGGTAACAACCAAAGAGCGCTGTTTTGTGCGAGCTTTATTTATCATATGACCCATAAGTGCCGTGTGTTCTAAAGTACCTGATATCTTGGGAGTGAAGCCTTTTTGAATTTGGCTTTCAATGAAACCATTTTGTTTCAGAAAGTTGAAAACAGAGTTACGTAGGCAGGAGGTGAAGATTTTCAAGGGAACAGATTCTAAGGTTATTGGTCTGAAGTTAGAAGGATCATCTGTATTGTCTTTTTTGTGGATCAATATCGTTGATGCTTTTTTCCATTCGGATGGAACACTGCCAGATACCCAAATGCTATGAATAATTTTGGTGAGGAAAGATCGTAGGTAAGGGCAACGTTTGAAACAAATGATGGATATCTTATCAAGGGGACAGGGAGAAGTGGAGGATTTCATGCGACGTATAATAGAAGTTATCACTTGATATGATGGAGGTTGTGTGTCAAATGGATAGGATGGTTCATCGAAAGAAGGTATCCAAGAAGGAATAGTGAATCGTTTATTTGGATAAAGGGCAGAAAAAGCATTACTAAAGTACTCGGTGCACCGTGTAGCAGAAAATGATGGCAGAAGTGATGATTTACTTTGAAAAAAGCGTTTGACGTAACTCCAAAAATTTTTAGCGATGTATTTATCATGATCAATTGTGTCAGAAGTATTTGTTTGTAGAATGTTTGTCTTGAGCTTCTTTCGAATAAGTCCAGATACGTATTTAATTTCAAGAATGGGGGCTTTAGAATATTTAAGAGCCTTTAATTGTTTTTTCAAGCTTTTAATTGAGTGGTCCTTGTATTTTGTAGACAGGTCTTTGTTGCAGTTTTCAATCACACCACATGTGTCCCTAAAATAATCATAAATCGAATCCATCATCAACCTGGTAACGTTATCAACTGATGACTCATTTATGGACACATCTACAAGTGCAGATTGAAAATACGAGTTGGCGAGTAACCATTCATTGTCAGAACTAGGTAGGCGAATTCCTGGCTTTATTTCAAAATATTCCTCAAGAGGCACATCAGGGTTGTCATTGGTATCCAGATCATCATCAGTCACAATTTCATGCAGTTGCTCTTCGCCAACAGTAATAATAAGTGGCATTTTACTAAAGAATTCTGATTGGTGATGGCAATATGAAAAAATCACTCCAATCGAAGCAATTGCCAGAGACAAGCTACAAGATAGGCATTGATGTGTGTGAATGGTTGTGGGAGAGGTAAGGGAGAGTCCATGAAAGAACCAGGAGAGAAAGGTAAGCAAAAGGGAGAGGGGGATTCGATGTAAGAGAATGAAAGAGTCTGTCAAGGGAAGGAAGAGAAAATCGATAAAGCGGAATAGGAGTCGATAAATGGAAAGGGAAGTTTAAGGTCCTCTTAAAACGAGTGAAATAGAGAAGTACAGCAGCATTTGAGCTTTTCATAGAACAATATGTTTAAAAATGTTTACATTCCAGAGAGAATCGCTTCAATAACTCTTGCTTATTGATGTCTCTACGATAATCTTCTATAGATGTTTGATCTAGAGAGGTTTTTTTTAGTTAAATAGCTAACAATGCATATGTCATTCTTACCTTTTCTGCCCTCCCAAGCCTTGCAGTACACTGTTCTGTTTTGAATTCGAGGTCCTGTTTCTTGGCAACGCATTCTTCGTATTTTGCTTGCAAAGATGCTATGCCCTCCTCAACTTCAGCCAGCCTCGCTTTGGCAGCATCTAATAGTCTTTGGGTTTCTTGAAGCTCGTCCTGTGCACCTCGTAATGCTTCCTACAAAGAAAATGAGAATTATATTCTAGATTTATCAAATAATTATCTTCCGAAAATAATGTTTCAGTTCTTTCTTAAGTAATCAAGGTTCTAGAATAGACAAGTATTATTTATGTCATGATAATTAACGCTAGACCATAAATGGACAAAAGTGACGTCACTTACTCTTTTCGGGGCAACATTCTTGGCAACAAAGTGGTACTTGTGCATTGCTCGTACCCACTGGCAAATGGATGTGCAAGCACGTGAAACCTGAAATCAAAAGAAAAATCACTCAATAAAAACAAGAAAAAATATATTGGTAAAAGGTCATTCCAATTCTCTTAGATGACAATATATCAAATGTAACTGGCATTGCTGGGGCATACAGTGCTACATGTATTATGCTTTGCAAGCCCTCAAGATGATTCGAATAGCTTTGGCTTTTATGAATCTTATACCATCCGTTCTAATCAACATCTGACAATATAAACAAGAATTATTATCATCTGATGTTTTTCTAAAACTTAGCAATTTTCAGTTCACCACATTAGCTCAATCTCCATAAGCTACACTTTTTTGTTCTACTAACCTTCTGAATAGCAAATGGCTGGAAGTCTTCACTATCGATGTAAGGTTGGATTTTCTGAATGACAGAGTCTGGAATATTGTCCTAAAATAAAGATTTTTAATATCAACTTTTGTTAAAAAACTTTGAGCTATCTGAAGTATATCAATGGAATTATATAAAAATAGGGTAACTTTATCAGAAATGGATATTAGGTGAATATTGCGAACAGACAAATCAGCTATGACTGTGATCGTGGCACTGGCAAAGTTTATAATTTCGACAATAGCCGCTCCATAGGGAAATATTGTAAAACACCATATTAGCTAAACATGCAAAAGTGCTGCAAAAATTAGACAACACAAAAAATTCAAATTGCTCAGTGCTTAAATCGATGATGAATGATGGATCATTGAATCTTTAGAAGATGGATACGTCTTTGAATACTCTGAAATGACATATTATTTCTGTTGTAGCACTTGCAGCAAAAATGGTCAAGTTACTTGGTAAATGACTCTCACGTTATCATGTAGTTAGCAGCGGCTTGTAATTAGCAATGTAACATAAAAACTGAGAAGAAAACCAACTTCCACGATTCCTAATAAATAATATAATAACTTACTTTGTCGTAAGCAAAAAGGCTGTCAAGGAATTTTCCAGGGTCTTGTAGCAAACCTCTACCTGCTTCCCAGTAGTCATCTACTTTTGATCCAGGCTGCCAATAGAATAGTAAATAAAACATGAAATCAAAAGAAAGCAGTCTAGGAAGTTATCTCAAGCATGATTGTGAAAATGTAGCGTGTGTAGAACAAACAAAAAGGGATGTAACTAGCAATAATCGACTTAGAAAAACACAAAAGAAAAACTTGGACAAAACATTCGACCAAGACCCTAGCGAATGGCAAAAATGCTGCTTTTAATTACAAACATTTAAAGCTGGCAATATAATAAAAAAGTAAGATTATAATGGTAGAGGTTAAATTTTTGAACGAACTAATTTCATTCGCTGAAATAATATCATTTATATCGATATTTCAGACATTTTTTGGAAAGGCAGAAATTCTCTTGCTAATTTACCTTATCACCAGCAACTTTCTTGGGCTTGAGGCCTTTCATTATACAAACAGCTTCAATGACCATTTTCACGCCTGGTGGAGGCCGTTGTAAAGCTCGGACCTAAAATAAATGCAAAGGTAGCGATTCAAAAGCCACGATGATTGTTGATTAATGATTAACGATTAACGATTGATCATCAATGATGAAGACTGATGATCTGATAGTTGGTGATAATGATGTAAATAGGAAAATAAAATTACCAAAGAAAATAATTTAGTATCAGAAAAAAGAGAAGATAAGTTCCAAGTGATGCTGAAGTTCTAGAATATTAGAAAACAGGGAAAGCGTTCCTATAAAGCCTGTTGACTGAAAAGGAAATACAATTTTTTCTCCAAGCAAATATATATGTGTATTTGTGCTGTATTGTGTAATTGTAGCGTACTTTTGTAAAGTATATTTTTAATGTTAGTTGTTGAGGCAACTCGATAACGTAATGTTTTTGCCTCCACCTCAACAATAATTAATTATAAGGATTGTGTTATTTTTAGTACAATAAAAAATATAGTTGATATTTTCTGTATGGGTACACAATTTTTGAAAAAAATTGAAAAAATACTTCGATGAAAGGTAAATGCCTTTATCGTGATGATTTGAATAAAAATTGGTTTACCTCAACGACGTCATTTCTGTTCAATGACTTAAGGCTAGTCAAAGCTGCTTCCTAGAAAAGGTACAGAAAATCATAATATTTAGAAAAGTTATCAGCTCAAATTGTTTCTAATGGTAAAGATTTATGTTCTATTTGAAGTTGCTTGAACTGGTCCATTTAGTTAGCTTTTTATTTAATCCATTTCGTCTTGTCCTAATTGAAGCTAGCCTCTTGAGAAGCATGAGTCCTAGCCCTTTTCAGTATAGGGTTAAAATATTGGGAATCTTTAAACACACTGAAGTCTAGGTGAAACGATTAGGTCAGTAATCATGTTATGACAATCAATAAACAGGAGATACTCAAACAATTAAGTCAGTGACTAAGACATTACAAAAATAAACGGGGGATGATGCTGGTGAACAGGATTAAAGGTATGTCAATGTAATCGTGAGAGAGAAGTCAAGCATAAAGAGATTACCAAAGCAGGTAAGGCTTCATTCAAATCCTTTTGAGCATCATCAGCTATCTCTTGTGTTTCTTCTGCCTTTTTAGAGGCCTCTTGTTCCTCTTTAGTTACAACTTCCTTTGTCTCATTGGCTATTACCTAAAGGTAGTAAGAATAAATTTTTATGTAACGCCTAAGACATCAGAAAAGTTCTGAAAACTTTTTGAAAAAATATGAGGCAATTAAATTGGCTGTTAAATGCAGTTAAATGCAATATAGGAGCTGTTATCCTTTAAAACGTTAGCTTAATAACAACAGCATTCAGTAGCTTGCAAACATTCCCGTATGTACTTGTTATTCCTAAATATTATCGTGGGACTTATAAGCTATAGCTGGAACCTAGAATTGTCTCTCTCCACTAATAAAATGAATGCCAAAATAACCTTAAGCTCTACAGTAGAAAAAATTAAAAAAATTCCTCAGGCTTTCACTACCTTTAAATGTGGTTACTTTTGCTCCTAATTATCCCTTAAACCCTTTTGATATTTGTTGCCAAAACACGCTTATCCGAACTATAGTCACCCTTTTTAATTGAAAAAATCGTATATTGTAAAAAGTGTTCTGCAGTTTTGAGGTAAATTGGAAAAAAAAAATTTGAGGAAAAAATCTTACAGAGTCTCTAGCAATTTGCTCCATGGTATCTTGAGTCTCTTTTGCAGCCTGCGCTAAGAGAGGCTGCATCATTTCCAGCTCTTCTTGTAGCTTGGTGACTTCTTTCTGTGTGCTCAAAAGCTGTCGAAAAATGAAAGAAATAGCTCAATCCAGATGTCGTGCCCACCCTAAAAGTGCGACGTTAGCCTGCATTAGCCTGCCATTCTTCAAAGAAATAAGAAACAAATAATTCTAAAGATTCAGAGTGGCAATGTAAACAAGAAAACAGTTCCACACCTTATCTAGACCAGTTTTAGTTCTGTTTCGCGCTCCCTGTATTTCCGATTTCTTTAAACCAAGGACTTTACTGAAGGTTCCAAGCAATTCCAAGTAGCTACAAAGAAGAACCAGTTAATTATAATGTCAGATTCATATCTATTGAAACTTGTATTTTCAAGAGATATGAAGATACTCATACTTTTCCTGAATAAAACTATTAACTAGTACGAGAGTTGCTAAGCTCCCGTGCAACAATTCGATAGAGTTAAATAGTTAGCACAAGAGATATGATAGAAACTCTGACAGATGAAAAAAAAATTAAATTTGCTTAACGGCACCGAGGCTACTAAACATGCGTTAAGAATTTTTAATTTGACGTAAGACAGTACCTTGTTGGGGTAACATAGTTGTGTCTTGAGAGTTCATGAAGATATTGAAGTGACTTCTTTGAAACACTCTGATGGATTGTTCCAAAAATATTCACCTACAATCACAAAGAACTGTTGCAATACAAAAATAGATGCAATTTGAATGCATGAGTACTACAGAACCAATAATCGACTTTTTGCGAAGGTAGCTCATTCACAAAACCCTGAAAACTGTTGAGAGTACAAAGCCCCCTTCGGGTCTTGTCATCTTTGAATAATATGGAATACATTTGCAACCTTTTTGTCAACGTGTGTCTGTTTAACTCTTTTTAAAACTGCAACGAAGTAATCCCCTGCCTGCTGCAAAGTCATACATGCAAGTAAAGTTATTATCGTGAATTAGCTTTAAACCTCCTAATGTATCCTCAGCCTACTTGCAAGAACCGAGTATCTATTTTGTCTCAAGTTTGCAGTCTTGCCAGCGTGTTTCAATAAACCCCATAGCCCATTTTAGCCTTGTCATCTTTGAATAATATGGATCACATTTGCTTACCAGTCCAGGAACGTTTGTTTTTCTGGAATCTATTTCCGGCATCTCCAAAATGTAGGTATTTGCAACAGATTGCAAAGCCTGATCAGGCCATTCTGAGAACCAATCAATCGTACAGCATGTTACCAATGAAGGAAATTGTCGCAAACGTGATCGGAAAACCTCACCAATTGGACTGAAGAAGATAATATGCTTAGAGTATAAACGATATTTTAGATTTTAGCAAGAAACACAACGGGTGACTCATTGCGTCTTGAGTATAAGAAGAAAGCTAGAACATACTTATTGGATGTTAGTAGTAAAGTAAAAAACGCTAACATTGTACAAATTGCATTCAAAAGCAATCATTGTCTTCGCTTTCCTTCAGGTACAGAAGGTGCCAAATATCTCACTTTGAATTCAAGCAGCGATCAATTTAGTGTCAAAAGCAGAAAGCAGGGGTCTGTAAAACTTTATCTAACTACTATAAGTTGGCATGTTTGGAAAGTGTTTACCTGAAAAGAGCACAGACAAACGGAAACATAAAATTTCTGTCCTACAATTCTTAGAAAATAAGTGAACATTGGATTATGACCAAAAGGTACGTTCGATAATCATATCTTGGTGCAGATCGAAAAAAAACGTCAGAGAAGGAATAACGCTTTTGATTGCTTCCGTATTTTGACAAATCAGCGACCGTTAACGCCTCTGATTCTAGGAGAGTTCGCCGAGAAAATTACGTCTTTCTTCCCTCACAAGTAGGGATTTTTTGTTTCAATTTACACATATTCCAAAGCTCCTGAATGTTGAAAAAGTAGTTCGGTAAAAATGGGTTACCTCATGCAAATTACAAGATGTATGTTAGTCTTGATCCGCTTTGTATAGCAAGAAAATAGATTAGCTTTCGTTGGCTGCATGCCTTCGTCGAGAACAATCGGCTTCATTGCTGTGTAGATATTGTCAAGCTCATCAGGGGCGTAGATGTTAGGAACATCACCAGAATTAAGCATCCCGTTGATGTCCTCCAGAAAGGTCTCGCTTTTGATCTAACAGGAGAAAAAAGCAATTCATCAATCATATTAAAAATGAGTAAGATAGAATTACAGATTTATTACCTTTATCAAAATGAATGTTAGTGTATAGCAAAGGCTTTTCGTAGAGAGGTATGTATTTGATATTCTAGCCTATATTTTGATGCTCTGACATTGGTGATTTTCATAATCGGCGCATCTGGTGATAATGATGGTGATGAAGATTTGCTGTAGATGCAGTGTCAAAATCATTCTTTTTAAATACGAGCAAAAAACAGAGTGCTTGCAATACAAAACACAAAAAAACATAAATCAAACGAGTATATAAAGCGGGCACCAGGTAGAGTTACTTGTATATAAAGACAGAGACTAGAAACTTCATACCTGTGTATCGCAAAATAGGAAAACGATTGGATTGTTTTCAAGGCCTGCTTTCATTAAGACTCGTTTGATGTCATCTCTCCAATCAGACAAACCGTAGTTCTTGGATAGCTCTATTTGAAAGAGGTCATACTCCGACCTAGAAACAATGGCAGTAGATGTTATGGGCGTTTATATGTTTGGAAAGTTCTAAACTTAATTCAGTGAAACACATTTTAATGAAGTCTTTTTAATATTTCTTAATTAATACAGAGAACCTCATTAGGCCGAGACTCACAATATCTGACATCTTCAATAACGGACCCTCGTGATAACATACACCGCGGCTCTAGAAGTTTCCTGTAGACACCTTTGTGTTCTTGATAACGAGTACAGACTCGAATCATGAAAAGAGACTTAAAACAATATTTTCTTTGCAAGAAAATGCCCAAGAAGGATGCTAAATCCACCTAAGACAGTTTCAAGTATACGATGAGTAAATTAGATCTTCAAGAACCTTAAGTATAGGGATTGGAAAACCCAAAAAGACTGTATGGTGCATAAGAGCACTCCTGTTACGTAACAGCTTTTATACCTGTTTGGGAAAAAGTAAGAGTTAAGCAAAAAGTTGAGATTATGTCATCTGTTGTATTTGAACATTGATTTTCGGTGTTTTCTTGACAAAGTTATTTGTTCTTTAATGTTTTTAGACATGATATAAGGACTACTTCAAAACAAAAACTAAAAAACAACACATCTAACAACGTGGTGAGACAAAGTGACTGTCATCCACAAGATACAGAGTGTCTCAGTATAATAGACTTGGCAGAAAAATAAACAGAACAGCGGTATAAAAAAATGGTAGGTCAAAAGAGTTTAGGAGGGGTTTAATGTTTGTAAAAGCAGAGCCTGGGCTGTGAGGTTTCTGGGGAGGAAAAGCTGCGTGTTGATAAGGTATTTGAAGACATAAAATCTGATTAGTACTACTGACCAAGTGATGTTGTTTACTTACATATGTGTTGCTAATCTGGTCAAACTTTGTCTACCACTGCCTCCAACGCCAAGCAACAAGGCATTGCCTAGTGGCTGCCTGATAATGCGGCTAATCCTGGCAATGTGTTTGATGGCATCAGTGAAAAGAACAAGTCGCATTTGAGCAGTGTTCACTTGGTTATAGTCTTCTAAATATTCACCAAGAATTGCTTCCATCTACAAGGCAGGAGAACAAATATAAAAACAGTCGAAGTGGTGTATATGACTGTCTCCTTAACTCACCAACGTCAGAAGTCACAGAGCAATGGCAAAACACTAAAAACATATTCTTAATATTTAAACTTTCAGCAGGAACTGTGATTCTTGTATAATCTTCTGCTTAAGCTTCCAATAAAAAACTTCTAGTAATCTGTTTTAGTTTCACTATTTCCGCTACACATTTATCTTATATATATCTTATATTGATACCACATTCCAAAATCAAATGACAACCTTAAAAAAATTTCACTTTTTTGCTAAGCTGATAAAACTTTACTTAAAGCCTCAAATAAATACCTTTTCAAAGTCTGTTATCTCAGCGTAGACTTTTGCTTCAGTATTAGGCACCATGAAGTCACCGTAAATCAAGTTCTCGTTTCTCATGACATCCTCTACGGTCACCTCGAAAGCAGACTTGAGCTTCTCACGAAGGACATCCTCAAACCAATCACGGTCTTCTGTATTTACAAGCCTGTCTTGCAACGTTCTGCAGTTTTCATGGTACCTTAAAGCGTCAAGGTCAGACTAAAAATGATTCTGTTCTAAATCTGATTTTCCTTATTCCTTTGGAAACATAACAAGTTCAGTAGCCAGTATGAAATTGTAGAAATCAGTGACCTTGTACAATGCTACCCAAATGATGACCTTTGCTACCAATATTGATGTGTAACCCGACTTTTGCTACTTTGAACTTTGACACGACCTTCAAATTGCTTAAATTGTTTATTAAACAACACTGAATAGAAAACTCCCTTTTTACACAATAAACCTCAAGACGTTTCATGAAAGGGGAAACTTTAGAAGTACAAAATATGCAAAAAAATCGAAAAGCTCTAGACACTCTTTGAAAATGATTTTGAAACAATCTGGTATCTGAAAAACCATTTGTCAAGAAACCTTACCCGAAAATTGCTTGCACTGATTTAGATTCTGTTTACATTCAGTTTATACAAAACAAAGTTCATGAATCAAGGTTAACGTTCTTAGTTTAAAGATATACAAACCATAGCCGAAGCACATCTTCTTTCGACTCCATTTTATCAGCTCTCGCCATGAGAATGCCTTGAAATACCTTTGACAAGTCCCTCAGATTGAAGGTGTAATGACTTTTTGCCGGCGTTGGTAGCAGCTATAGGAGAAGGAAAATTTGCAAGCATGAAAAGTTATGGTTTTAAATAATTAATCTGTGCATATGCAGGGGTAAATCTAAGGCAAGGCAGAAAAAGGAAATACAAATTAGGTATTCTAAGAAATTACCTATGGGTGAAAAGTTGAAAACCATTATAGTAAATATAAGATTTACAGAGATTTAAAAGTTTTGTGAAGTATGACCAATAAATCAAGCACCTAAATGCTAGGTTTTGCATTTTCTTCTACAGACACAATATAAAAGTAAAATTCAGTATAAGATTAGAAAAAATCAATTTGTGATTGGCTTGATTGACAAGATTTAAACTTTTAACAATGATAAAAATTCAAAGAACTAGTATAACGGCAACTCGAGTATGAGAAAGGATATAAATGAGCACAGAAAGAATGATAGCAGGTCACCAAGGGTATACATTTTTGCTAATAATTATATTTATAATAAGAAAATAAAATAAATGAGAAAGTCCTAGTTATTTCCTAAAAATTTTACAAGTCAGTAAAATACAAGTATTTTCACAAAGTTGCAGGAGTGTTGTAAGCTTGCTTAAAAGACTCAGTCTTCCCCCCAAAACTTTAATTGCCCTCAGGAAATAACTGCTTTTCACAAAATTGTCTTGGCTGCATAAGCAATTATGCTATACTGTAGTACAGAGTAAAGCATATATAAGAGGCTTTAGTTTGTCACCAGTTGTTAGAAAGATCCAAGAAGTACCAAAGTATTTATTTTACTAACACACACATTACATTACCTGTGTTGTTATCGTGTTGTAAACCGCAATTGTGTGTTCGACGATTTTATCGCCTAGAGATTCGCCATCTTGTTTAGTGTATGAGGCTGCAATAAAATGGTTAACAATTAGATACAAAATTTCAATCAATGCATTCAAAATGCCATGAGAAATGGTGTGAAAAGGCTTATGTAACTGCTCATCAGTTCCTTCAAACTATATAGGAATAACTAGCTCATTCAAATGCTCGATAGATCAAGCGAATGAAAATCAAAAGATAAATTTGAAAATCACAGTAAGAGAGAAACAAATTAAGATATTTGAATATCAGCTTATTATTTGGTAGAATATTTTTATTTTCGCTGATTTGATTTGAAAAACTCGAGTCAATGCCAAATATAACTTAGTTGGTAGATCTGAAATCTAGACATGTTTCTACCGTCCCAGACTGAGATGGTGACTTTCGCCTATCGAATAGAATACATGTAACAGCATGTGTACAACGTAATATTATGGCAATCCGTTAAGTTTCTGTTTATGTGCAATTATTTGGTACACAATAGCATTAGCGGGATCTTCTAAAATGCTCACGCATAAAAAAAGTTAACTGAGCAAACTGATAGCATTTTAAACATCACTAAGACAAATATACATTATAGCAGTAGCTACAGATAAAGACGGGACCGTTAACATAACCGCAAAGGTGAGCAATAACCGCAAACGTAGTAATTTTTTGTGGATATTCCACTAAACTTTTACTAACCTATCCAACTGTTGAGAATAGTAGAGAATATTCTAAATTTGCTTTTATCTTCCATTTCACAGAAGGAAAGAGTGTTAAAGTGCCGAGTAAATCTTGGCGTGAGTGGGTTTCGACCGCCTCCAGGAGGCCCCATGGCACCAAGCAAATTGATGTCCACGAGTTCCTTGAAAGCTCCTACAAAAAAGGGAGGTAAAACATTTAAACAAAATACTTGAAAATGAGTAAGCTATGGCAGTGACTTTTTAAAATACATGACATTACTCATTATCAACCCAATTGTCAATTTTAGAATCAGTCTAACGCGAATCTTTATTGGCAGCTTAATGAAAACAGAGGTCTTAACACTAAACTGGGGAATTAAGCAAAATATAAGTTTTCCACTAAACGTCGAAAAGAGCTTTGCTACATACCGATCTGTTTTCGATCATACCACCCTCCGTGGTCACAGTATTGTCTTAACAATTCAACTGGGGGTTGTGCTCCATATATTTCAACTGCTGGCATATTCATATCATCAATAAACAGTACAAAGTTCTTTCCAAGTGGAGGCCCAAACATGCCTTTTCGCCTGTTGAAATACAATCAAACAATTGTGAATTATAAAAACAAACTGCAAAACATGGGGACATACAGCAAAATGGAAGAAACAAATCTTTCAACTTTCTGTGGTAGCCAAAGGGCTGAAAAATGTCATTTTGAACTTAATCGTCAACAAATTTTAATGACATTAGCACTTTACACAAACGCTAATTGCAGCAAGTTTTCCTTTTTGGTGAGGAGACGACTTCCATAGAATGTCATACCTAGGGGCCTATCTTAGTTTGTCAGTTCTCTATTTTTACAATTGAAAAATAATGGCTTTAAAATAATGGCGATCAACTCAAATCCAAGCTTTTATTCTTTAGTAAACCTTCTCAACCAGAGCAAAAAAGATAGTTTTTGACAACAAACTTAGGATTGTCTATTTTACAAGATTTTTAGAAAAGTTGATAGATAATTAACAGGTCTTATGATACCTTTTATCTAATTTCGAATCAATCATATCTTGAGTCTGGTTTGCAGATGTCCTTGCAGAGAATGTGATAAAATGGGACATGTATTCTTGTGGCATTCCATTCAATAGTTTGTTACTTATGCAAAGGGTTTTTCCTGACCCTGTTGGCCCGACACAGAGAACCTGAAAAACAGTAACGCGGAAGAGGTAATAAGAGAAGTCAAATTTGAAAGCTAAACACATAAAGTGCATGCGTATAAAACTAAAGGTTATGGAAATTTTGTGAAGATGACCTTTCCTAGTTTTGATAACCATGGCCATCCTTTATAAGGATAGCCATTGTTTTATGAGTTTGTTGGAATTATGGAAGCAAAAAAACAAAGAAGTCCAATTTTGCTAAATGAGGTAATTATCTCACTGAATAACAATTAATGATCAGATTATTTTTTCACATTGGTTGCCAATTGGTGCAAGCATAGCTATTGCTATTTTAACTCTAACCAATCTTTCAATAAGACTTGCAACCAATTATTCTTTTTCCCTCCTCCTCCTCTCTGGTAGACCAGTCGGAGAAAGGGGGAATGGTCCCCCGACGTAGAAATTTATGAGACCAAGTGATTCTAGCCAATTTTGGAGTGCCGAGTTCGAAAATCGTTGGTATACAGGCAGCACCACAAAATTGACCAGAGAAACTTGGTCTCAAAAATTTCTCCGCCTGGTTTATAGACCTTTCAAGTTGGTCCCAAAGCCTTCCAATCACATTTTCTTATCATGTGATACAAAAATTTCATTGAATAACATATTCAGTCACATGCTTGTTCTCATATCGATTACATGCCTGTTCGAAAGTATTGTTTTTTAGAAGATCATTGTAGTCCTAAATAATTTTTATCCCATTGAAACTATATAGATGGCAGGTCCAAAAGTTGTTTGAATTTAAAGAATAATAACTTAATTGGTTTTCTCACCTTTTTCTTATTCTTTAGCAGCTTTTCTATCAGATATGCACCCCTCACAAGGTCCATTGTTGGTATAATGATATCAGAGTAACTCATATCTGGTGAAAGTGTTGGCGTTGGGACATTCTGCATCCAGTTCACCCAACAAATCTAGAAAGAATTTTCTTGACCATGAGATTTAATAAAAATAAAATCATTTTGTTTTGAAATCATCATGAAATCTGCAAAAGGCTATGACTAGAGCTTTTGCCTCTAGGACAAAAACGTCTGTTTGATGTATGGTTGAATTGGCTAAACTTGTTTTGATTCTCAAATGAAATATGAATGCAATAGAGTACAGTCCTGCACTCCTTGTTTCTAACATGACACATCTTCATGTTTAAAAATAACATATTTTCACAAAACCTTTTAAACTAAAGTTAAAGCTAGCAGTAAGTGTTAAAAAACTTAGCATAGGGAGTTAAGAGCGTGTTGTGTCAATACTGTAATTTTTCTTTTAAAAAAACCCGTTCATCTAAAATAATTTAATAGCTTCGCCTGAAAACTTAGCTATAATCTTTTAAAATGAGCTGATAATTCAAATATAAGCTTATTTTACTCAGCTATAATTCTATTTATTACCATCATCCATATTTATACGCCCCTTCCCAATAGTTTTGAAATGACATAGACTATAGGCAGTAACAACAATACTGTACGTCTCTAGCATTAAATAACTGAAAACTAAAAATACCAAATAAGCTTTCATGACTTCAAATAGTAAAGTGATTCACAGTTCCGAAACCCGTAACAAAGGTGTTCGATTGCTGCAGTTACATACAGAGTTTATGTTTTAAACCACATGCAATGGCTGCCAGACGTGGATTTGGGTAATCTAATTGTTGCCTGTACGAGAGAAACGTTGAGTAAGCCTGCTCATTGAGGAGCAAGATTCGGACTTACTTCTCTTGCTTTGCTTTTTTCATCATCATCATCATGCTTTGAATCAGAAATGCCTCCATCATCGAGCCGGTAGTCGTAGACCAAGCCTTGTTCGGGGAATTTCATTAAAATCTAGAATGTCACAGAGAAATGAAAATTTGAATGAATTCCACAAAAGGTGTTTCAGGACTTTGCACAATGTATAAAAAGGGTGTTTGAAATTCTGCAAAAAAGGATTTACTCTCCTATCTCTTAGTTGGCTAAAAAAGGATAAAAAATCAACCATACTGGTTACTTACTAAGATTTCTAGCAACATGTAACATCAATTTACAGAGGATTTGCCTTCTTGGTTACCAATAATTGCATTTTACAGATCCAGTAAAAATTAAAACCTTATAATTCCTGTTCGTTCGTGTCTGGTTTTTATTATATGATAAATTTCGTCATACCAGCCCCTCATTTGATGGCATTTGATGGCATAATCTAACCAATGCAACGAAGAAGCAAAAACATCCGTCATCGATCACTGATAAAATATACTTGGCATAAAAGTTAGCAGATCTTCACCTATATCTCGCACAGTTTCTAAAGGGCAGCTAAATTTAAAAAAGCAGGTATCAAATTCCTTGAACGAGAGGCAACTATCTTTTGACAAAAACTGATGGTCTTATTATCAGGATCTATTATCAAGCTTTTCCGTTTATTAGCACTGCACTGGATCTTCCAACCTTATTATGAAATCTCTAACCTGCTCCTTGTCCATTTTGCTCCTAAGAAAGTCACTGAAGGCCTTTCGTCCATCTCCATCACAGGTAGCACCAACTGACCAGATCAAAGAAAAGATGAACCATGGCTCGAGAAGGTGAGGAATAGCGTTGAGTTTTTCCGGAGCAAGTGTTTCAGTCTAAAAGCAATCAAAGCAGAAACATATGTTATTAACCAAAGCTTGCTGACAATTGAGCAAGCTTATGATTCCTTGGATATTTACTGGAAGCGGAGGGTCATGTAAACCAATTATATCTTTATCCTTCTAGTTACGCTTCAAGACTTGTTATGAGATCTGTTTTATAAAATGTTCCTCAAAGAGAAAGTTCCTCAAATTTTTGAAAATCGAAAGAGTCCTCAAATGACTGTAAATATGGATAGAATTGAAGATTATGTAAGACTGACAGAAAGCAGAAAAGGAAATTTTCAGGATACTTTATCGTATTTAACCCGACTTTACCATAAGAACAAGCATATTACTTAAAAATTAAGATGAATAACCTGCAATGGAACTAAAAATCTGCTAGCTCTATTGACACTATGAATAGATCTAGTTGATAAGCAAAACAATAAGTTTTTTCTTTGATTTTAAACTATGGTTTATGACTGTCTAAGATACTTTATCGTATTTAACCCGATTTGACCATAAGAACAAGCATATCACTTAAAAATTAAGATGAATAACCTGCAATGGAACTGAAAAGCTGCTAGCTCTATTGACACTATGAATAGATCTAGTTGATAAGCAAAAAAATATGAAAGTTTTTTCTTTGATTTTAAACTATGGTTTATGACTGTCTAATACTTTCCATTGAAAGAATAGCTGTCCTTTAACAAAGATACTCGACAGAAAAAAACTACATTGATGATCTACGACGACTCAACTGTGTCAATGCTGCTTTTTTGGGCAAAGATAAAATCGCGTGACACTACCCATCTGTATTATACTGACTAACTACTCTGAATACTCGACTCTACTAACCACTGTAACTTGACTACCATCTTCAGCTATTTGGATCTCCTAAATGAAAAAGAAACACAGTGATGTGTTGATACTGCTAAGATATCTTGTTTATATTAATAGCCTTTAGATTTCTTTAGTTTCAAGACATTACACCCGTACAGTCCTGGGGAATTCATGAATAGATTCACTGCAATGCACTGGCAACTTCTGTCACTGCTAGAAATTCAACTGAATAGAATATGTTATGCTGGTCACAATAATAATGCAATTCAAACTAAGAAATATCAAGAGATGAGCAATTCAATTCAATTTTATAAAGTTATTAGAATTTACACAAAAGTCAGATACCTTCAACTAAGCGAGAAATATTTCTATGTCACTGCATCTTGAAAATATCTACAAGTTATTTGCATCAACGAAGCTAATATCCCTCTTGCTGAAAAAACTGGCTGTACAAAAATATTCCAGAATAAACTATGCCAGACTGTTAGAACTATCTGAAGCTTGTGCAAATTTTGAAAGCGTTCTAAAAATAGGACAATCTAAAATTTTAGAATCTTCAAGCAAAATGCAAGGTGGCTTTTTGAAACGAATTTTGAATTCAAAGTAACAGTATTTTGCAAGTTACCCAGTTTACTGTGGTGAAATTATGGCTATAAAGCAAAATATTACCTCTTTTGGGATGAATGGCTGGAAGAAACAGTCTAATAATTTCATTAAACTGAATGTCAGATTGCTGTCCATCGATGGGATGTACTCTTTGGCATTCTTTCGAATGGAAGTGATCGATTGCTGAAATGCAAAGAAAGAGGCTGTCAAAACACAAATTCTAGCATCTAGTATTCATAGTAATAAAGATGTTTTGAGCTGCAAAAATTGGTTACAGGGAAAAATCTTGAAATAACTGCACTGCCCGTACAAAGAGCTACAAAGTAAAGTTTTAGAGAAAAGAGAGAAAAAATTGGTATTGCAAAGACAAAAAAGTTTTTGCTGTGACAACATAGTTTAAATCGAGTAGTAGAACTTATGATTGAATAGTATAGTAGGTTGTTATTCAAAATCACGCCACAACGCATTTTGAAAATAATCAAGGGTAAGGACAAAGTTCTATGTTAAATGATTCTATGTTAGCTATAAATTATTTCTTTAACTCACCCTTTCATATAAATAATAACAAGAAAAATAAAGAACTGTTGTAGACAAAATATACATGTCCAATTTACGCACCTCTAGAAAATTCTCAAACAATGAATTCAATTTTTCTTTGTGATCAAAGATGCAGTCAGGAAGTCTTTGCATCCAACACTTAACGAACGGTTTCAGGCCAAGAATGCTTGGCTCTAAATAAACCATCCCACATCGACTGACTGTGGCTGGTGAAGCAACAGCAAGATCTTGCACTTCAAACATCATTGTCATCGACTGCATGAGAGAATGAAAAAGAGAATTTAGCCAAGGAACAGAACATTTTTTGCAACGCAAAATGCCTTCATTTAATCGCAAGAAACATATTAGGTCATTAAATGTGTCTAATTTTTCGTCATTCTTCTTCAAATTTCCACCAATTTATTTCTAAAAAAGTTCGTGTAAGCTTTTATTCGGTCCATACTCTTCTCCAAAAAATTCTTAAGCTAAAACACTAGACTTGTGGTGATAAAAAACATCAATAAAGTAGAAACAATGTATAGAAAATAGACTTGACACGAAAGATCATTTATCAAAAGTTCGCATAAAATATAAAGACACTCTTCTGTTAATAATTTACAGAGGAATTAAAACATTTCTAACCTCTGTTAATTTGATAATTTCACCACTTGTCAAGCAAAGCTTTTTGTTGTCATCCAGCACTGTGTTCATATTTTCAATCCAGACTGCGTCCACTGGTCCGTCAAATACATACCACTTCTTGTCAAGCGTCGTGCTTGAGGCACCAACACGAACAAGGGAAGACAAGATCCCATCAGTCCTAGAGATAAAAAAGGTAGAACGGTGATAAGAGCTATGTCACTTCAAAAAGCATCATTTTTGTATGGGTATTATTTAAATAAACGAGAGCAGAATAAGTAATATGGATGAGACAGCAAACACAGATAGTTCTGTCTCCAAGAATTAACATGCCCAGCTAAATGGTATTTCCAGTTTAAATTAAAAGTTGGAATGAAAAAACTAAGAAAAGGAGCAACCTTTTAAGAGGAAGATAAGATTTTTCTGTAAGAGGAAGATAAGATTTTGCTACTCTGACTTTAATAATGCAAAAGAAAATAATAGTATAAAAATATAAAAACTTGTATTGTAAATTCATACAACAAAATAACAAGTTTATCAGCAAAGCAAAAATATTTGCAGCATGCAATCAAGCACAGTTTAATACTGAGCTTTCAGAAAAATATTGGAGCGATTTCAGAAACTATTTTCCCATTTCCATGCATGCCTTCAGTTAAGTATTTACTTCCAAAAATTGCCTTTATTCCTACCTATATCTTCATTATTGCCAATACTCTATTCATTTAATTATCATAATTTTGTAATAATTATTTTGTTAAAGCTAACAGCATGCAAACTATTATACGTATACTTATTCCAATTTTCTTAAACCGTATCATAAATTTGTAACATAAAACACTTAACGAATATTTTAAATAAGTAACAATCAAAATTACCATTCGTGGGTAAGCAAGTCAAATTCTCCGTATAGTTGCCCCATTGTTATTGACTTTGGATTTAGCACAAAGGATTGGACTTCCTCAAAACTAGTGCCGGCTGGTGATCGTTCGCCTTTTAATGACGTAATCGCCTTCTTGAGAACTTCATAGCACTACAAATGTTGAAAAAAGTAGCAACTATAAACCTAGTTCAACCAAAATTAAAAAGGCTCTGAATGGCAATTGATGTTTCCAACATTTTCAGCCGTCCGTATCTCGCGCATTAACTACCATTGAGCTGCTATTGTAAATTAGAGAAAGCTTGGGTATAATGATGCAAAGAGAAGAATAGAGGCCCTCGTAAAAATATAAGTAAAATCACAATAGTAAGAAGTAGAGACAGGCCACTTTTCAACATCAGTTTCCTTGAGCCCTCTAGCTCTCACCCTGGAAAAAACATGGATAAAGACCCAATGATCGGGACAAAATACCCCGTTACAAGAGACGATAACCATTTCCTTTGCGATATAAGATCTGTTTTCAGAACTTTCAGATTTCAGATTTCAGATCAAAGCATCACAAGATAATTCTGACAAGTTTTCAAATATTATTTTAAAATGGTTACTTGTATTTAAGTAACTAGTTTGGGTCAGGTGTAACTGATAAATGCGTTTGGGATCATAGTGACAAAACTCTGTCCTATTGTTCCAACGATAACCAATACAGGAAGCCAACATAAAATCCACATACATAGCAAAGTGGACACAATACGTACCTTTGTTTTCCCTGAGCCCGTTGGACCTACCAACATCAAACCATGGCGAACAACAGTAGTTTCATACAACTGAATGCATTTGGTGATAAAACCTGCCAAGAATCCAAACAGCAAAGGTCAGAAAATCTTTGAAACTGCTTTTGTAACTTTGCTGGAACACCTTGATATCTTTTTAATATCTAACTCATTTGGCTTTACGGCTTACGTCATAGGCTCGAACCCAATACGAAAATAAAATCTAAGTAGTATCATGATCTACGCCTTGGGAATCTAAAAACATGTTGCAGCTATGCTTTCTTCTAAGTTGGTCTCTCAATTTCCTTTTGAGTTACCATAGTCACAGCGTTAAATCAACCCTCAAAAGCCATCTTATAGCAAAACCATAGCAATATGAAACAACGCACCATCAACATCTTCAAGGTTCATTTTCTTCGCTGACTTTCTGATTGACGCTTCGAGGTTGCCGTAATCAACTGGCTCATCTCTGCAATGGTACAAAAACCAGAGTTAATGGTAGTGCGGGAAGGAGTTAGAAAAATCAGTTACGAGATGAAATTTTAATTCTAAAGGCAGTTGTTCATTGAATCTATAAAATTATGCATAAAAGAATTTTGAAAGATTGTTTATAGGAGATCGGCTTTAGTTCATTGGAACCTATAAGCGATGGCAGTAACGAAGAGCTACGCGAGCCCTCCATCATTACAGGGCCATGCAAATTAAACGAATAAATTTTGCTGAAGCTAAACTATTTCTTCTAAATAAAGATTAAAAATGGGTTTATGAGAAAATGTGTTTATACGGTCTAGGAGTTTTATCAAATCCAACAGCTCTGAGCAATTCGAAAAAAATATAACAAGCACACCACATTTTTTTCGTATTATATAATTTCAAAACAGTAACTTTATCCCAGCATGTATCAAGCAATTTAAAGCTATCAATGAAATTTGAAATGCACTTTGAAAAATGGAATATTTATAGGTAAAGTATAACAAATAAAGTAACTGCGTGAATAGTATTGATCAATAATCTTACCTGATAGTTGGAAATAGATCAGAAACAATTCCATTGAAGAGCTTTAAGTCATCTGATAAAAATTTTGGCACATTCACATCTCTAATAGCACGTAAACAAATCAGTTCCTGCAAGAGTTAAAGATAAAATGATGAAGCTAATTCATATCTCTTGTGTCTCTTTAAAGTTCAAGTACGGTGCGTTAAGGCTAAAGTATTTATCTTGACAACAAAAATCATCGCTGACAATACATTTTAGGAATTTTGGCAATACGAAGAAGCGTTTTCATCATAGGTATGCATTTAGATATTGACAAAAGCCATACAAATATTTATAAAGAGAAGTTAATGGCACAAAGCATTTTGAAACCTTATCTAGGAATGTAGTTTGAAAAAGAAAACAGACTCCGAAAGAGACAAGGAAAGGCTCGAGGTGATGCTTTAACTTTTAAAGGCAATTATGTCTTAATTCATCAGCCATCTCACACCCACTTATTGCAAGTCCATACATACTTTACATTGAAGCAAATGGACCAAAAGACTTTAAATTCTTCAAAATTTTGTTAATATTTCAGACATTCATTCTGGGTAAAAAAATCATTTACAAAAAAGCCTAGTAAAGATCAAACTGATGAGTTCAAGAGAAAAGCTGCTGAACAAAGAAATAAAGGGTAAAGTTTAGAAGCATAAAAACGACAAGTCAAAGAAATTCTGTACCTCATCGGTATTTGGGTTTTCTCTCTTCAGATTACCAGCTGCTGATATGACGGTTTTGACGGCACGCATCCCAAAATCGTAATGGTCCTGCAAGCAAAAATGGTAGAAAATAAATAAAAGAAGTTATAATAAGATTAAATCTTATCAATACTTTAAGTTAGATTGTCGTTAGAATCTTGTTGCAGCCATTATTGCTACTTTATTAATGAATGAAATCCTATATTAATTTTTTCACAAAATAATTGTGTTGCAACTGTAACAACAATGCTGCCATTGGACTACTGTTAACTTGGTGCGTTAATCTTATTCATACACAGATGGAAAAACATAAACGCTACAGCCACTCGTAAGCACATCACCTCTCTATACTCTTTTAGATTTGTAATATTCTTCTAAAGTCAAGCTCGTAAATATAGTTGAGGAAATTTTTATTTTTATTTGTGTAACCAGTAAAGAAGAAACAGATATAATTTCTTATTAATGTCTGCATGTGAATACACGAAGGCTATCAAAACTTGTGGGCTCAAAGATTCCATTGCAAAATACTCATTTACACTTGCAAAAATCTCTTAAACTCGAGATAAAAAGGAAAGAAAATAAAACAGACAATACAAAAGTCTATCCTACGATCCTACGATTCTTTAAACCTTAAGATTATTATGACTTTGAACCATAAAAGGAAAGTAACTTAATAAGTTTAGATTTCAAGCCCTGTGGCTGAAAAAACTTACTTTGTCTTGAGGAAAAAGCAAAGAAGAAACACACGTACCTGTGAACTAAGCTGTTCAGACGACAGCTTGAAAGTGGTTGTAATTTTCTTTGCCAAAACTTTAGCTTCAGAGAACCCGAAGGAATACAAGCTGATCTCCGCAATCATTGCATAATCAGGTACCATCATGGCCACTGGCCTAAATAGAGCCTAAACAAAGAAAATAGCATTGAATTGTTACTAACAGGGAAAAATGCTATTCAAAAAGCTAAGGCAAATATCTGGTTGAGGGCGATGTTTTTAAGAAATCATGGCCTGATCACAGATTGACAAAGTCTATACTGTTAATCCTGTCCTAAAATCTTTAAAGCCAATGCAGATGTCAGCAAAACAGAATTTGGATTTGAGATTAGTTATGGCATTTAAGTGTATGGCATTCTTAACAGAGTAATATTTGCTAAAAAGTTTTTCAAGGTTTTTCTCAGTAATATTTGCTAAAATTTTGAGCAAAATTACTGCTTTTTGTATTAAAAATGGCTAAGCAAGAATAATTTAAATTTTCATATAGAACATAGCTGAAATCTCGAATTGAGATTGACCATCTTCTTCGGTGGAATTCAGACTTCGAATCATAGAAAAACGATTTCATACCAACCTTCAAGTTATCTGGCAGTTCTGTTCTGCCCGCATACCCTGGGTTCATTGTAATAAACACAGCACATGAATGCTTCAACGCCAATTCAACTCCTTCGAAAAGGAAGCGGTCAACCTAGAAACGAAGATGTATGAACTTTGATTCATTTCTACCACAGGGTCTGATAGCATTTCATACATGTTCTTGCAGTATATTATAGTTTATGCTTGTCATAAACTCATTCAAAAGGAGTAGCGCCGTACAGGAACTTGCCTTACTCAGACAATCATTTCAATTCAACTCAATAAATTCAATTCAATTCAATTAAACTTTGCACAATTCGAATATTCCTCTAATCGGAAAGGTTAACAGAGATACCAACTGAAGAGGGGTGGAACGTATAAAGAATGCTTTTCCAGGGGGTCGTTTATCTCTCTCTTTCACTCTTAAATAATAACGGGAATATAAAGAATGGTTTAACTGCGTTGAAAATTACAAAATTCAAGAGACATACTTTAGCAATTTGAGCTTGTTGAATCGTTGTGATCTGTTGAGCAACCACGGACAACACTTCGATGTCAATTCTGTTGAACTCATCAAAGCAAGCCCAAGCACCAGAGCTATAAAAAATCAAGGCAATTCCTGATAGATCGATGAAAATGGCTGCTCATATGGTATGAAATAACTGCAAGATCAATAATCACTGGGTAAGAGAAGAAATTTTTCTTAGCTGGTCAATTTACGATCAATGATCGATGATCAATCAATAAATCAAGCATCACAGTTAATCAAGAATAAGAATCAGGCCAAAGTTACTTTTCTCAACTGACTCAGCACAAGAAAATTAACGAGATTTGATTCATAGGAATCATAAGCATTCTTTTAAAACTCCAGTAGACATCTTATTACTTATATCTAAGTATTTATATGATGGATTTACAAGTAAAACGCACTATGAGTGAGTATTGGATGTGAACATTTTGAAGGATAGTGCTTTTAATTTTGGTATGTTTGGCTCCAAGTGTATATATGGCCTGGTATTTATAAAAATAAAGAAACTTTCTTACCTTGCAAGACCTTTAAAGAATTTTCCCATTGCCATGTAGTCAAGTTGATCTGAGCAATTGAAAACTACACATTGGATAGCCATTGCTTTGGCCAGATCCTGTAAAAAGGGCGACAGTGTTAACATAAAAAGGATTACAATCAAATAATAAGAACGATTTCAAACCAAAGAGTTGAACATAACAAGAGAAAGCATTAAATTTGACAGGGACAAAATATTCAAATAAATGCATTAGCAAGTCTTAAGATGACTGCAATTTTTTACAGCAGTATTGTGAAGCCTAAATATAGGAAAATTTTGAAATGCAGAATCTTTGGCTTGCTGTCTCTACTCTTCCCATTCAAAATATCACTCTCATTAGCAAATATAGCGTTAAAGAAAAGTACAAAGAACCTTGAAAGACAAATAAGAGAAAGAGTAACCTAGTAAGTTTAAGTCCCATGTCTTAAAACTTATGCAATTAATGCAACAGGAAGATAGTAATAAACGCAAAATATAACTAAATTGTTAGCATTTCACTATGAAGCTGTCATGCAGGTCTCATGATGGCATTCTCAAATTTACAAACCTTAGTAGTCTCTGTTTTCCCTGTTCCAGCTGGACCTGCGGGGGCTCCCCCGAAATTCAGATGCAATGCACCAGTGAGTGTGAGATAACATCGATCTGTCAGAGGAGTGATGACAAGACGCCCACTGTTGCCCAAATATTCATAGCCGTAACTGAAGGCAGCATTGACAGCTTTGACCATCAAATCTTCTTCCCAGTAATACCTAGAAAAGAAAGCAGATTTCCAAGAAACGGCACTACGCCAAAGGTTGATGTCTGTAGTGGGAAGATGTATGTTGTATGGATATTAAATTCCGATTTTGGCCATAGAAAAGGTTTCATTGTAATGTTGAAAAAAATCTATAAAGCGACCAACCAAATAAATAACATAACGATAAATTGTATCGACACTGCTAATGAGAGCAAGCTCCCATTTCACTTAGAACACGTCAATGTCTGGAGAAGTTTTAGCTACGGGTTTGAAGTGAACCTTTTAAATTAACCGTGACAAAGTAAAACGCAGCTACCTCAATGGAATGATCATTGACAAAGGAACACCGGTTCTAACATAGATGCCTGATCACGGGACAAAGAAAGAAACTTAGCTACCTTAGTTGATTGATCACGTGAAAAAGAAAGAAACTCAGCTACCTTAGTTGACCGATAAAGTGAAAAGAAAGAAACTTAGCTACCTTAGTTGATTGATCACGTGAAAAAGAAAGAAACTCAGCTACCTTAGTTGACCGATAAAGTGAAAAGAAAGAAACTTAGCTACCTTAGTTGATTGATCACGTGAAAAAGAAAGAAACTCAGCTACCTTAGTTGACCGATAAAGTGAAAAGAAAGAAACTTAGCTACCTTAGTTGATTGATAACGTGAAAAAGAAAGAAACTCAGCTACCTTAGTTGATTGATCACGTGAAAAAGAAAGAAACTCAGCTACCTTAGTTGATTGATCACGGGACAAAGAAAGAAACTTAGCTACCTTAGTTGATTGATCACGTGAAAAAGAAAGAAACTCAGCTACCTTAGTTGATTGATCACCGTGAAAAGCAAGACAACGTCAGCTACTTAGTTGACGCATCAGTGAAAAAGAAAGAACAGTAGCTACCTTGAGTTGATTGATCACAGTGTAAAAAGAAGAAACTCAGCGTAACTTAGTTGATTGATCACGTGAAAAGAAAGAAACTTCGCTACGCTTAGTTGATTGATCACGTGAAAAAGAAAGAACTTGCTACTTAGTTGTGACCGATAAAGTAGAAGAAAGAAACTTAGCTACCTTAGTGTGATTGTACGTGAAAAAGAAAGAAACTCAGCTACCTAGTTGATTGATCACGTGAAAAGAAAAGAAACTCAGCTACCTTAGTTAGAATATCACGGGACAAAGAAAGAAACTTGAAGCTACCTTAGTTGATTGATCACGTGAAAAGAAAGAAATCAGCTACCCTTAGATTGACCGATAAAGAGAAAAGAAAGAAACTTAGCTACCTAGTTGATTGATCACAGTGAAGAAAGAAACTCAGCTACCTTAGTTGAACCGAAAAAAGTTGAAAAGAAGAAACTTGAGCTACCTTAGTTGATTGATCCACGTGAAAAAAAAGAAATCAGCACTCAGTTGATTGATCACGTGAAAAAGAAAGAAACTTAGCTACCTTAGAATTGATGTGATCGTGAAAAAGAAAGAAACTTAGCTACCTTAGTTGACGATAAAGTGGAAAAAGAAAGAAACTTAGCTACCTTATGTGATTGATCACGTGAAAAAGAAAGAAACTTAGCTAGTTTTAAGTTGAATTTGAGATCACGTGAAAAAGAAAGAAACTTAGCTAACCTTAGTTTAACCGATAAAGTGCGAAAAGAAAGAAACTTAGCTACCTTAGTTGATTGATCACGATAAGTGAAAAAGAAAGAACTCAGCATACCTTAGTTGAATTCAATTCAACGTGGAAAAGAAAGAAACTTAGTTACCTCAGTTGACTGATCCATTCAAAGTCATTCACACCAGTAACATTCTCTTTTAGAAGCTTTGCAACAACATCACAAGCATGCACCTAAAATGTTCAAGTAGAAGCCAAATTTAAGGTCTGGTAAGCAAAAGAAACAGAAATTTTATTGATAAAGACGTATTTTCTTGATTATGCTGACAAATAAAAGGTGGCGATGACAATGTTGATGATTATTAACGATGGCTGATGATGATGTTGTTGTATATGACGTTTGACGAGAATAGTGAAGGATGGTGATAGCAATCAAAATGATCATGATAATTTCAATGACACATTTGAAGTTTACTTTTTCGTCAAAATTAATATCAACTTTTCCAAAAACATCAATCAAGAATATCGCAAAATAAATTTGCAAAAAACATTACCTCAATGACAATCAAAGCACCAAGGATCAACCTCGCAATATTGCTGAGGTTACCTCGCACCAAAGAAACCAGATTTCCAAGCTGAAAAACAAGTTTGCACGATTAAACAAAATGTGATTTATTCATCCTTAAATGTGCAAGGGATTCAGTCTATAAATATTTTTCGATAGCGAAGTTCTCTACAATAGAATTATAACATCAACAGCATACAGCATAATTATAATTAATCAGCATAATTAACGCCATACCTGCTCTTTGAGATGCTCATAAAGTTCAGGAAGGCTTTCTTCTTCTAAAGCCTCTGATACTTCGCTTGTCCAGTAGGTCTGACAGCCTGCAATCACAACTTGCCCAGGCCATTGCAATACCCATTTTGTGCGCTCCACCTTGGCAAAAAACACGGAGGATATAATTAAACAAATGATCTTTGAACGCATCCGTACATAAATATTGGCAGCTCAAGAATACTCAGATTCCTGTTACAACTTCTCTCTAGAAAATACTTAAAGGTACAAAAAAGGTAAAAATATTTGGTACACTTTGCTAGAATTTTCAAACTGTAAATAACATCCTGCTCTCTTTCTTGTAACAATACTGCTTTACTTGGCTTTCAGAGCTTCACATTAATAATTCTCATTCACACCAGATAGTTGGAGAGTTAAATCTACAGGAAACAATGTCTCCTTTATGGGGGTCCTACCACCAAATCATTTTTTTGTTAGCTTTGTGAAAATATTTTGGCTAATTGTCGTTCCAAGGACCTTTGGCCTAAATTACAGAATATTTCTGATCTAGATCTGCCTTATCTTCAAATTATTTGATCATAACACTGTAAAATAACAATCTTTTCTGAACTTTAAAGTAAAGCTTGTTGGTTTACAATTCCAAAACTTTTGTTTAGACATACATCAGCATATTCCTGCAGCGCTTGGAAAAGAATATCTCTCAAGCTGGACCTCATAGTGTTCTCAACTTCAAGCAGCCAGTCTTCGACATTTCCTGTTGGATAAAGATGTTCTGCAAATTGTACCATTTCTCCTTCAGCTGAGTACATATTCGAGATCCGCAAATCATCTTCAAATTTGAGCTATGGGAAGAGAATAGGAAGAAAATGGTTTAAACAAAAATGCAAGTTACAAAGAAATATGACTCAATAAGGCATATGATCTAGAGAAAAAAATTCCAACAGAAATATCACTTAAATCATTAATAAATCTTGATTTACAAAAGATTTGTGAGTAAACGTGATCTTAACAAAATTACAATTAAATAAAATACTATTTACAGAAGAGTATGACTCAAATAGATTCTATGCTCTATATAAAAACTTTGGGTCAAAAACATGACAAGAAATCGGATAAAAGAAACATATCAGTTAAGATATTAACAATTAAAAAAAATTCTAATATAAATAAGAACATGACTTTGAGAAATTATACCTGGAAACCAAGATATAAAATCAAAAATGCCTTCGATAAAAAAAACACGAAGGATTGATTTCAAGTAAGCAAAATAAGACAAATTTCGTTAATTACCTTTGCAATATTTTCAAAGCATTTTCTGAGATGCGGCTGCACAGCAGTTGGGTCTTTTGTTTGGGAAAGGATTTCCAGCAGCTCATCATCTGACAGGAAATAAAATCTGGGGAAAGATGTTCTCTTTGTTTCCAAATATTCACTGAGACCTTTCTGGACCTGGGGAGATAAAATGTTTCAAATATCTGCTTATTATATATTGATTAATCAGAAGATCAAGTTTTAGAATGTTTAAATAGGTCAAAGGATAAGTTTTGTCTGAGATAAATCTGGACAAAATCTTTGAAATTACGAAAAGCAGCATATGTCATGGTGTTTTTAAAAAACCTAAAAATGTACCGAGAAGCCTAAATGAATAATCACGGTATTTACAACTTCAAAAAATGTAAAAATTGTTGATTCAAGCTAACCACAAGAGTGACCAAAGCTTAAGGGTTTAGTAGAGAATAAAATAGGCCACTTTTCAACCTCCTGACAGCATTCATTACCAACGAAATCATTTCACTCTCATCAAAGCAATGTATTGTGTCAATTCAGAAAGAACACATGTGGCTGGAAGACATACTACAACACGACTCATAACTAATTTACAGAGATACAAACATTAGAATGATAATGGTAATCAATTACTACAAACTAGCATACCTGTTCTAAAAGCTTATTGCATTCTCTTAGATTCTCAAGCAGCTTTTGATCAGGACACAAATCAATTACCTGAAAAAGAAAAACTGTTTAAGATATATATATATATAAGTAACAAAATAGGATATAATCTGGCTATATCATGCAAAAAGTCTTCATGGAATGTTCCTAGACTTGCGATTCTGAAAACAACTTCTGAGAAAAAGGCAGACTGATTCAACATACTGTTTGCCATTAATGTAAAGTACAGCTTCTTTCCACTCTCTCCTAGCTTAAACTTTAGCTTATAAACTTAAACAGTAAAGATATCACCAATGAAGGAAAGGGATAACAGATATCAACACTGTCTGTTAAGCTAGAAGTAGAAATTCTGCAGTTTCACGGTCAGAGGTAGAAATTTATTTTATGAACTTTTAATAGTTTGAATTCAAAGGAAGATTCAAAGGCATAAATTCTGCTGTCACGGTAAGAAATTCAGTGAAATGGTCTACAGTTAAGCATATAACTTTGAATAAGAATTTAAAAAAGGAAGTGAAATAATTCGAAATTAAGAATCGGAAATGTACATTTGGGTTGTTCTTCGCATTGTTCAGTATCTTTCTCCAAATTCTCTCCATCGTTTGATATCTTTTGCTTTCGACTGGTAACTGGCGATTTATATCTTCCGAACTGATACAAAAAAAGAGAGAAAGAGCGTGAAAGAGAGAGATTAAAGATTCATTTTGAAAAGGAATGAAACTTTGGATATAAGAACCTCATATGAAAACTTATCAAAATCGAATTCTGAGGCATTTTCACAAACTGTTTCGTAGGTTTTCAGGACAAAAATATAATTCCCGTTTCCAAATTTTTAAGAGTCTTACCAGGTATCAAGGGATAGGGATAAAATATTTTTTTTAAAATATGGCGTGTTCATTTGATATCATCTATTCGTACAAATTACAAATTACTTTTCTATCTCGCTTTAAGCGAGAGCTGACTCTAGAAAAGTGTGATACTAGATCTTTCAAACAAAAATTGATTCTTAGTATTTGAACTTCTTTAAACCCGATGTACCTGAAAATTGGTTCCAAATAAAGCCATGATCGTTGGCATACGAGCCATTCATCCATGACATCTTGCGTCATAAGTAGCTTTCCTTCCCAATTTGAGATACGATCTTCAAAGACCTTTTTGTATGGAGAGAAAGACATGCTCTGTGTCATGACAATATGATCATCAAGCAGCTGGGACACGTCTTCTCCGATCTTCATGATGTAGGTACCAGTTTCCTTGTACGGCATTATATCAAGAACTACTGGCGTCCATTCTTTCACCATTTTGTCCAAAGCCTAGAATGCAAATGATGAATGCGTAAACAATAAAAGCAATCGTAGGGCAGCAAGAAAATTTTTTATTCTCTATTACAATGATTTACCTGTCAAAATAAAGCACTGGAAATTGCATCCAGTATCGTAGAGACAATGCTTATTGCTAAAAATCTTTGTACTGCAAGCATGAAACCGTTTACTTAAAAAAATGAAAAATTTTATTACCTGTTCGATTGAGTATTCCTTCCCTGCGACTTCTCCAATTTTAGTAATTACATTGATGTGATCCTGTAGTTTCATATCTAGACACTTTGAAAATGTTAATGTTGATTTGGGATAAATCTTCAATTTCAACTCTGCAGAAAGCTGAAAGAAAAATAAAACATTGAAAGTACACGGAAGTAAACTTTTCTTAAAAAAACTACAGGAGAAAAAATTTTGCATAGGAATATACAAATGTTTCTTGTGGAGAAATTACCGATTTCCATAAATAGCTATCTGGAGATCATTTATAATTTAAAATAAACTAACCACAAAACTTAAGAAAGAATCTCAAAGATCATTGAAAACTTTCTTGGGAAATTTTTGACGTTCTGCTACCAAAAATTGAATAAAAGTTACAAGTGAACTGTAAATGTAAAAGGCAAACTGGAAACTATGGCTCGAAAGGCAGAAGGGCTCTGTATTTACATGAAAGTGCCTTAAATATCTCTGTTTTTGAAAAAATGAAAAAGGAGGAAGATAACGCATTTATTCAAGTATTACCCTGCTCCACTTTCTATTTAACTTTCTATGTACTCTTCACAAACTAGGCTTAGAAAAAAAGCTACCATGTAAAAAAGAAAAGCCGATGGCTAGAGTTTAGATTATGATGTCATCAAACATACTTGATCCCAGTGCCTCTGTCTCATTCCAGGGTTTCTCAGTGCTTGAATCAGTGGAATAAACGGTTTGAAATCTTCAATCCAGCCTTTGATTTCAAGAGCTACATCTTGGCAAGATGGAATGTCTTGGAAATGCCTTAAGATAAAAAAGGCAAGACATCCCAATCAACTGGAGGTTAGCAGGTGAAAAAAGGCTGGGTTGTAGCTTACAGTTGAAGATTGCTAAGTATTATAACAATATGATTAAATTTGACTCAAGTGGAAGCCAAAAAAGTAGATCATATATGTAAAGAAAGAAATGAAAGTGATATAGAACGTTTTAAAAACTAATTTAATTCGAGATTAGGCTGGGATTACTGTAACTCGTCAAGAAGACTCAATTTTTCGCTCAGTTTTTAAAGTGACTTTTCTTTTCACATATTAAAAGTTTCATCTTACGTAAACAGCCACACGATGACATTATTAAGATGTGTTGATGTTAATATAAATACTTTTTATACACAATCAAAAAAGTACAACCGGACAAAAAAAATTACAGTGACGATGCTATTAAGAGCATGATAGACATTGCTACTTTCTGACCTTGGCAAATAACAATGCAGAAGTACTAAAGGTTGTAGCAAAATATTTTGCATGTCACACCTTATTTATTCAAATATTTATTGATATATGAAAATTTACTGGAGGAATCAAAAGAACAGGGTAGGCTAAGCATGAAAAATGCAAAACGGTGACAGGTAGTGTCGCACGTAAACGCTGAGTACAATACTCTTGGCAGCAACTAAAGTATATTATTTAAGCGTTGATGTATCCACATCTAACTCCAAGTAGGGGTCAAGGTCACTTAAGCTCTCCCCTAAAGCTAACTTAACAAATGATTTCTAGAAATTGGTCTTTTTGGAGACTCAAAAAGTGAAATTATTCTGTCAAATGGCCAACCCCCATCCTTGTAGCCAAAGAAAAGGCGCATCGAGCTTGGAAACCACTATGGCGTATAGCCATCGATTGTACCTGTGAGGATGTGAGTAACGAGAGTTGCATGCTTCGTTACATACCTAAAAGAAGGAAGGGGAAGGACAAACTAGTAAGAAGACATTCGTCTGTTCCGCTCCCCGACAAGGTCACTGGGCGTCGATAACTTACCTGGCACATTTGTGCATCGTTTTGAAAGAATCATTAACGTTCTTCTCAACCTGCTCTGCGTCGATTGTGTTGATTGGATCATGCATCCAGCTGTCGTGCCATTTCAGCCAATCAGATGTTGTCAGCCATAGGTTTTTAAAAGGTTCAAAATCTTTTACCAGTTTTGTAAGCTTGTCGTACTAAAAGAAAGTTGTCGTACTTTAACCTTAGATACGTTAAACGTTTTAATGCATAGAGCAGGTCAAATACATGATAAATGAGCAATATAAAGAAAGAAAATAATGAAACTTAATATTAAGATGCAATATAAAGCGAACTTTTAATTGAAACTAATAACACTGACATTTTTAATAAGTCTTATGAAAATCGAAGAGTTTGTCCTACTAAGACATTACAATTCTGGCACCAAAATTGTAGTTTCACAAGTTTTCCTCCTTCTTCTGGTAAAAATAAAAAAATTGCAAAAAGTAATTGGTAAAAGGCAAACTTGCATTTGTAACTGGCATTCCAAAAAGTCTTTCCCTACTGTTGTAGAGTTGTGCCAGTTGTTGGCATTCTTTTAACTGCTTCGTAACCCTTCTTACTTCATTGGCAGTCTCGTGGGCTCTGCAAAATTATCATGCTATTGTTATCAAGGGCATAAAGCATTTTTAAACAAGAAGGGGGAAGGGAAGAATTTTGTTTTGACAAGTAGGGGAGGTTGGAGAAAATTTTACAAGAGAGGTAAAAGTTTGACACTTAATGGATAATTTTGTGATGTCTTCTTTTGGAAAGTGTAGATAATAAAAGAGATCTAAGTCACTTTGCAAAATCAAATTTTAAATGCAATTGCCTAATCCCTAACGAAATACAACAAGGGAACAACGATACACGAAAAAAATGGCGAAGAAAAGAGATGGCCAGTGTGGGTCTCGAACCCACGACCTTAGCGTTATTAGCACCACGCTCTACCGACTGAGCTAACCGGCCGCGAAATTTCAAATGGGGGTGCCTAAATCAAATCAGTTTTTAAATGCGTATAAATAACCCATAGAAATTGTATTCAAAATCTGCCTGAGAAGTTTTGAATCTTACTACATAACCTGAAGGAGCTAAATATTTTGTGAGATATGGCCACTTAAAGATTCAAATCTTTTGGCATGTTCTGTTTTTCGTTTGGTTTCTAAAGTTCAGCGCAGGTACCAATTTGAGTGTGAAGATCAGCAAAGAAATCTTGCTCATGCATTGGAACGTTTTTGATTCACTTTTGTACCACTTCTATTACAAAGGGTTTTTGACATCAGTGCCTGTAAAACCGATTCTAAATTGAAGGAGAAGCAACAATGTAGAGAAATTATCAACCACTATAGCCCCCTTTTCTGTTGACGCTGTTTTTCACATGGTTGTACACTCATTTTTTTATAAGAAACAAAGGTCGATGTTGAGTACTCCAGTTTCTTAATGTTCTTGAAATTTCAATACTCATTGTTTCTTGAGAGTTTCTTAATTATCATGTCATGAATGATGTTATGAAATGTTCGTGACCTTTTTTATCACGTCAAGAGATTCGCTTCCGTTCCCATGCTGTATTTAGATGTGAGAAGTATATTTTTATCCCTTGTGTCTTAAGTCCTAGGCCAACAGGGCAATCTTGTTCTTGGATTTTACAAAATTTCGTTGTTCTCAAGTTTTTTAACACGATTTAATAGTTTCTTAATTTTTTTGCTTCGAGTACTGAAGTTTCTTAACTTTTTCTGACTGTCCAGTACTCGTTTCTTATAGCCAGTTTCTTATAAAAAAATGAGTGTATTCGTGATAATTTGCAGGTATATCTTTACACAAATCTCAATCTTTTATTAAGCAAGAAAGTTCCCCCTTGTTTGATGCAGGTCCGGAATATCAGTAAAGGGTAAGCTTATAAATCAGATGCTTATAAAAATGGCATACTTGTTGATATCAGTGTGTGCAGAGAACCCAGCAACGACCATATTGAGGCCATCCAAGCGATCTTGGAAGTTATTCTGTTCATTCAGCAAGTTCTTATGGAATCTTTCCTCGTCCTCTTCAAGATGTTCAGCAGTAGTGTCCAGCAGCAGTTCAATTTTATGAGGCCAGCTGGCACATGTCCATCTAATAGAGACGATGGAAAACGAATTGACCAAAAGCAAGTTAATTTTTCTAGGGTTGCTTTTGCACAAAGGAAACATATTTTTGATAGGGGGAGCCTAACAAAATCCATCCAAAATGTTTAAAAAGAACAGCGAAAAAGCGTCCTGTTCTGTATACACGAATTTTTTATAAGCCACCAAAATCTGGCCTAGTACAGAAAATATATTAGGTAATATCTATTTTTGGTTATTTTATGTTTCAATAGGGTTCCAACATTGTAAATCAATTAGTTCATTAAAGATTCTACCTTAGTAAATCATTATAAGAAACTTACACTTTTTGGCTTTAAAGAAAAATAATACTTGAGTATTTTAAATCGAAAATAAGAATAGCAATGAACAGCTCAAAAAAACAACAGAATAGGAAAAAATATTGTTAATAGAATATTACAAAAATTTTCCATGCAATATGATTCCTTTGATGTCAATTTTATCAAATAATATGACAATATTCTATTCCGAGGAATGATATCTGTCAGTCCAAGTAGGATGTTATAATATATGTTCATTATATAAACCCTTATCTTCTCTGTTCTTAACTTTGTGTTTGTGTCTTACAATATATATTTGCAGTACATGAATTTTCAAAAGTTTTAGTTACCTAAAGACATCAGTGTAAAAAGGATCAGTATTTAAATCTACCGAAAGTGAGTTTTTCAGAAACTGACTAAATGCCCTAAACCAGACAAACAAATGGGTCCTTCAGAAAATGTACAGTTCCTCATAATGGACAGTAACAATGCTCTCTAAGCTAGTGTTCAATACTTTGAGGTTCAAGTGTTTGTATTAAGACCCGAAGCTTAATGGTTACGTTTATGTCCTTCTAATAACATCACAATCATTCTACTTCTGTACTTCAGTTCAGCAGTGGAAAATCAATGCAGCGATGATCACATATGATCAAATAATCACAATCATAAAAACAATCATATGATCACTTACTTTGAATTGAAATCATCTTGACCGATGCTGTAATAAAACTCTTCAAGCAGCTCGTAGTCTACCATGGCCTTGTTTATCAGTTCCTGTTTTTCTGTCAATAACCCAGGCACTGTTTTCATGTACTCTCTCTGTTCTGATAATTCTTCAATGCAGTTTGGCTTGTCATACAACCGCCTTGCAATCGTTCGAAATTCATCACAGACCTTGAAAATTAAGTGGCAAAAATTGTACTTAATTCAAGTACAAATAGCAAGTTAAATACAGCTTAAACCTACTGGCAGTGCAGGAGATATACGTGAACGTTCAAAAAAGGCTGGAAGATGCAATTCTTGTATTGCAAGATACGTTTTGTTAAGCAAGGCTGATGGTGACATATTTTTCAGCGCCGGCCACAAGGAGAGGACCACGTCGCTTAACTATGTTGCAAAACAAAGGTACATAATAATTTGCTATTAGCCCGTACGTACCCCCTTGCCCCCCCCAACTTTTAAACTTGCTTCGTATCCAGACTTCCTACACAAAGCAACTATCATCTTAGCTAAAGTTTATGTCCTGTACATACATAGCTAGTTTATGTCCCTATATTTTAAATGGATAAATCGCCCAACTGTCTGTTGAAATCCCTTCTAATTTTTTTCTCCTCTTTGCTTACTGTATAAAAAATTCCACCCAGTTGACGTAGATAAATAAAATGATGTTGCTAATCAGATGATGTAGAAAAAATAAAAATATGTTGCAATTAATATTTTGAGGTACCACACTTTTCTAGAGAAAACAAAAATTGGCATTATGCCAAGGCAGAGGTTTTTACATATTGGATAAAAAGATCATGTCTCCCAAGTTTACAAGCAAAATAATACTCCTAAAAATACATATTGCAGTCAATGCAAATGCAATTGCACAGTACACCAGTTGTTCTATATGTTACCCTTTACTTCCATCCTGGCACACTTAAACTCACATAAACAGGAGTAAAGTCCCTTTACCTCATCTGCCTGTTTGCGAAGCTTCTTTGCCAAGAATTCCAGCACTGAATTAGCAAGAGCCTTTTTCTTTTTAGCCAATGCCTGTCTAACTCCATCACACATGATCCAAAATGGACCAATGATAATGTTTGCAGGCAGACTTCCTTCGATTACTTCTTTCTCTTGTAGATGACTTTCAATTAGCTGTTTTACCTGAGCTGGTGTGTGATCTTCCTTCTCGTAATCCCTAAAAATAGATAAAATAGAAACCAATATATTCATTTGGCTTAATCAAATCTAGCTTCACGCTACTCCATAAAGGCAATCGACGGATACTGAAAGTGCTTCAACCGTCTTGCAATCAAGAATCGACCAATCAGTGGGTGTGATTCCACACGCTTATCGATTGGCTAATCTTGATCGACAGATGACTTAAGCCATTTTTGCATCTTTCCATTGCCTTTAAACTGAAGAATAGAAGAGAAAATTAACAAAACAAGCAGTTTTTAAGCATCATGGCATTTATGTGCTAGCAGCTAAATTTTTGTCACGATGAACGAAGCTAAATAATGAAAAAAATCCTAATAATTACATCTTTCAATAATTTTGGTAATTGCAAGAACCTAATACATAAAAGCTTAGGACAACAGCCAAACTTTTTTTTCATTTTGCCGTTCACACCGTTCTAAGCGTACTAATATATAGTACAATTATAACAGAAGTTAAGAATGACAGGCGACAATATTCTCCTTCTTATGAACACTGCCAAAATGTTTCTGGCAAAACCTATCAATAAGGGAAGAGAAAACAGCTGTTTGAAGCAAAAAAACCTAACTTGACCACCCAACAGTATTGATAAAAATCATTCAGGCACGTAACAAAACTCTGTTTATTGGGTTATGTTTTCGAATCCCTTGGTAGAAAATGATCATTCTGTCCATGTCAGGTTTTTAAAATGATCATTCTGTCCATATTACCCTTATTTTAAGTACATATTTTTTTCTACGAGCTAAAACGTCATTCTCCTCTGTACCATCTTATACCATCCTATAAATCCATTGAAACATCAAAACTTACTCTAGATATTTCTTGATATCCAAGTTATGCAATTCCAGGTATTGCTCGTATTTCTTGGCATAGGCAAGAAGCGGCACAATCGCCTTTCGAATCGCTTTTCTGATCAACTCTCGCATGGCTTTCACTTCACTCTCATTTTCTCCAACACTTTCAAGCAGCGGTGTTCCGCTCCAAAACAGCTTCTCCATAACGCGTTTCTCAAGCTGTGGGACATTCTTTGTTGCTTGGATACCTTTGTCAAAGCAGCCAATCACACTTGGCTCAAAACTGTGCGGATTTGTGCTGTAGGTGACCATGTTGTTTTCCATAACAAGATCCAAGTAAAAGATAGGATTCTTCTTTGGCCTAAAAGAGATTAACAATTATAAACTCATATTTCTTAGGAAACGATACCTTTGGTACCAGAGCCACATAATTTCAAGCGCGTAAATAGAATGCCAAGCAGAGAGGCGGAGGAGCATCTAGAGCCTATCTTCTATTTCCGCTTTCAAATTTATGTGTATCTGGTACCCAGGGTAGGGTAACGAGTATCAGAGAGAAGACGCTATGGGGCCGTCATAGGAGGGTAGATGCCTCTTAAGATTTTTTCTAACACACTGGCCAACAGCACAAGTTTAACTCGGATCAAAATTGTCGTGATCCGAAAAGTTTAAACAATAACACCAGAATGATATATATTATCATACTTAAAATCTTGATTGTTAAAAATCATAAAGATTTAGACAAACATGGTAGTTTCAGAAAAATTGGTCTCGAAATCAATGATTCCAATTAGCCGAAATAATAATTGAAAAATAAGCAGAAAAAGTGGAACGAGACCAACCATGCAAGGATATAAAAATATGAGTTATCCTTGTGAAACAATAATTTTCATACAAAAAGGTTCCAGTCCTTCATAACCAAGAAGAAACAGTTCCTATGCTTAGAGGTTCTCTTAACTGAGATACAAGGTTCGTGGAATGTGTTATGCTCACATGTATGGGCTCTTCAATATATCTTCTCCCCATTTCATGTCATCTGAAAGGCCCATAACTGAATGACAGGCATCCATAATCATCTGTTTGTAGGCTTTGAGTGAATACTGCACCAAAAAGCGCAAAGAGTCCTGCGGAAAAATAAATGCCCAGCTGAATATAGTATTGATATCTGGCTTTTTCTTCGAATAAAATATAAGTAGATAGGAATGAAAATCTGTTTTTACTTTTTTATTTTCATACCATCATTTACTGGGCATAAAGGATTCAAGGTATCACTGGAATTATGTTTGAATTTGTGAAAATTTAGCTTGCTAAGTCCAACATGTAATTGTGTTAAAATTAAACCTTTTGGGTCGTGGATATCGTAGGCTAGTTTTTGAGGTGGACGGATAAATGTTAATAGTTGCTTCCTGAAAGCGTATACTGAGCAGGAGTTTATAGTCACTAGGTTTTATTTACTTCATGCATTGAAGACTAAAATCAAACAAAATTTAGTTTACAATGAAATTTTAAGAATATTATTGATGACCATCCAATTTAAAGACACATGGCAACGATAAAATGAAAATGAGAGCGTTAAAAATTGGAGGCGAAAGTGAAAAACAAGGCAAGATAGAGAATAAATAATGAAGAGAATCTTGACAAATTGAGAGACAAAATTTTCAGTTTCTTTTTAGCTAAAAATAAGTGGCAAAAATAGTTTACTCTTATAAAGAGAATGCAAGGCTTGTACATAATGAATAAGGGTACACATTATTGGTTGTTCTTTAAGAGTTTCTGATTTTTTAAAGGTTTTTTTTATTTTTCAAAGGTTCTGTGAAATTCAGACAAGGGCCAATTGAAAACCAATGATAACACTACAGGAAGAGTCCAGTGGAGAATGGTAAAATCTTCGCTTGAATTCTCCTCAAGTGTTTGGTGCTTTCGCACTTTATTTACGAAACAACTTCACAGTACTGTTTTTAGGCATGTAGACTTAGACAAGTAAGGAGCGCAAGGAAGTGGCATGAAACAATTATATTGTATATGCTATAAACAACAACATAGTTTATATAGGTGAATGATAATGTATAAGAAAAATCACCTGCATCATGAATCGTACTGATTCCATCAACTTCGAAATCTTTGACATTCTATAAACTTCCCAGTTTGTTTCTTCCAAATTAAACCATCCTTTACCGATGTCTCTTAAAGAACTTCGGACTGATGCTCTTAGAGTAGTTAGCCAGCTGTCTTTCAAGAACATTTGAACCTGCATAAACAAGAGTGGTATTTTTCACGATGATTAAACAAAAACGTTGCTGCAGTTTTGTATAGAAAAAATACATCTTTTTAGCATTATTAGTTTTCTTTCTAATCACATTTCTTTTTAGGTGCACATGCTTATAAGAAAATAAGAAGTTAGATCCACAACTGCTTTCTAATTACTCTCAACAACGGCCAGTCACTGTCATTCTTTCTTTGCTCTCAGTGAGTACTGCTCTTATTCATTTCAAGCTCATTTCATTTGCAAAAGTTTAAGGATAAACTTTTCGTCCCTTACTTATTTCTAGCATTGACATAAATGCATTGGTATAACCTTAAAAAAGATGAGAAATTATTTTCTTGTGAACCCCTGAGAAGAGATGACGAAGTATATCCCATTCTCGACTGATATTTTACAGCTATACTAAAAAACATCCTTAGTCAAACAGTAAGAAGTATTTCTTCTTAAAATATAAGAAAGGGAATCAATATTATTATAAAGAAAGTATCAACTATGATAAGGACAAGTGCTGAGAAGGACCAAAACATTTCTCATCTTTTAAAGAAATCAGGCTACCCAAGATTTGATACAACAGTAGCATTTCTTATTTACAAAAAGCCTTATCAATTATACTAATTGAACTAATGAAAAAAGCTGCATGTTTTTAAAGATTGATTTAACAAAGAGGAGTTTTAATGGGACCTGTGAACTTGCTTGTCCTTGAGTCTGTTCGAATTCCTCCAACCTCATGCTCTTGCTGATTGGCGCTTGAAATAACGTCATCGCGGCAACCTTGTTGCATTCAGATCTCACTTTGATCAGGGATTGTATGACCTCACCCAAAGTCAGCAGCGATCGAAACGAAAACTTTCGGAACTTATCTTCAAAATTGTAGCGTGGAACGTCCGAGCACAGGCCTAAGAAAAATATCAATGAAGAAGTCAGAGAGGGTAAATAATTTTTGATTGGGGGAGGGGGCTGGGGATGCCAAAATCAATGAAAAGGACATAAAATGATCAAACTTCCTGACTGTTAATGACAAATACTGTAGCCCTATAAAATCTTTAGCTCTCTACATTGTATTAAAATTAAGTAAAGGTACAACATTGTTGGAAGTACCAGGATTTTTTTGAATATGTCGTCATACCGAATTTTTACAAACTCCTGTGGAGATTTCGCTTCAAACCCTTTGCTCTAAAAGCTCCTAAATGAAGGATAAACACTGCAAAACCTTGTTTGGAAACTAGAATTCTACATAGGAGAGAATTATCTGAATTGAAGTGCTAAATGAGAACACCCTCACGTAATCTTGTAAAAAAAGAGACTTAGAAAAGTAAAAAATACATCCTAAGGTCTGTTCCGTAAAAGCAGTAACTACACGTTCTAACGAACACAAAATGGGATCAATGAAGTTAAAATATAGGACGAGTAGATAATACTCTAAGTGGTCCAACAAACGAAATCCCTGGCGTTGATCATTTCAAGAACCGTGAGCATTTGATAATTTACCTCTAAGTCCCATTTCTAGACTGAAATATTTAAAGTAGGCCCTCACATGAAATCATTGCATTCGTTGCAGACTGCCTTCTGGGCATTAATATATAACATCATACCTGTTTCTGGTGGTATTGGCATTTCTGGATCTTGCGGCTGAACATAAGCAAACTTCTCTGGATATTTTCGGATCATTTTGTCAAAGGTGATCTTGTTCATTGTCCGCATGTAATCCAGCTGAACTTGCTTCGTTAGCACATCAATGCAGTCACTCAGTCTAAAGAACAAAACAAGATTTAATTTTTTTTGGTTACTAAATGGTCTAGCTTTTTTCTTCTTATTTTTATCTGCACAAGATACTCATCGGTAACTTGCCCCGCGACTTTGCCCACTCCCATGAGCCATGAGCAATATCAAAACATACTAGACTTGACCACTACCTTGTTTCAAAATCCATAAAACCAACTGAAGATTAAGTGAGTCACTTTTTTGGATCACTAATACATACAAACGAAATTCAAGTTTCATTGGGGGGATGGGGGTGTTTTTGACTCACCCACAATTTCTGAAGAACACAGACAGGGTAAAAAGGGTTTCAAAGCCTAATTTTTTTGGCGAAGGCAACGGATAGGGTGGCGAGAGATGGATGGTTGGCTCAAACAACAAAAGCCCATTACTTCCACCACTGCCATTATTAATGTCCTATAGTTTAAACACTTCTTATGCCAGCTTCATGGTATAGTTACTATGTGTTGATGTAAATTCAAGGGAAAATTATGTAAAGCATATTTAAGCATACTAAGAGTACTTTTTAGTACGACACTGCCTGGGTAACCTCAAGATATGTCATTCTATCTATGTTCTAATGTTTTATATTTTGAGGAGTGTCAGAAAAAAAGCTTCAGTATGTTTTAAAACGTTTGCTTCAATATCACAAAAAGATTGTTTACTTAAAGTACTCTTTGCACAAACAGTCAAAACATGGCTGTTCGCTAAAAACCAAAAGTTCTCTAAAAATGATCTGCCAGAATAGCTCGTGCGTTTATTTGGTCCTTTTTCGTGATTATCATTGACCATAAACCTTGAATGGTCAAAATGCAAATCAAAATTCTCGTTTCTTTAGGACCACCCTGTTCTACACACCAAATCATATACAGCACAGCCTATATAGCACTGAGCACTTTATGACAGACCGGTAATCAGTAATTTTCATGTAAGAGGAATTCACAATAAACTTGAGTTGTCATACCTTGAATCATTGTTGATCGATTTTACCCCCTTAGCCCAATTGACAATCCTGTCAATGGTTTCTGGAGTGAGATTAGGAACACCATCAGTTGGCATACAATCTATATACAAATGGTATCTCAACAATATCTCAGTTTTCCTACGCAGCTCAAAGGCTTCTGCAACACGTTGTGCGAAATTCACTGGATCCTCAGCAGAAAACATTAACCGTACTCTTGGAATCCAAAACTGTAATGGCTTTCGCTTTGTTTCTGGGGCAGGCCTCTTTGGTACACCTGGCCCACGTGGCATTACACGAACCTAAAAAAGCAAATAAAAAACTAGCAGATCAAATTTTCATGATTTCGTAAGTGTTAAGGGAGTTTGAAACAAACCAAAAGCCTAATAAACAACATTTAAAGGTCCGCAGTTACGAATTAAGTATAGTCAAAAGCAAAAATGATTGCTAATGCGGGAAGAAAAACGCTCTAAGGGGTATCTAATGGGTTTTATTGTCATCTTCTCAAAATGTTATTTTGATGGCTAAGAGGAAAAGGGTCGAAAGAAGGAGAGGAGGAGAGACCAAAGACAGTTGAATTAAATTAGAGATAGATATTGTGCGAGTGCCTCTGTTGCAGTCCAAAAGGATAAAAGAGAAAGAGAGGAGACATAGCAAAGCTTCTCGGCGACGCTTTTAGCAATTCGGGTATCTCTTTTTACATCTATACCTGATAAAGCTGTTTCTTGGGATCATATGCAACCATTCCAACATTCATCCATTCATATTGCTTCACCCCATTATTAACGATGCCATTTGCAAGGAGAGCTTTCCCAGGGACAGGCTTCTGGCCATCGTCTTCTCTCCCAAGCTCCAGCCATTCTTCTGGCGTACGACAGTCAAACTCAGTGTCATCAAAAATGTCAAGTGGCAAGAAAGGATCACAGTCAGCATCTAAATGCTTAGCACCGGGCGAAATCTTCAGTTTAATGTCGTTTGTTGGCATCAATAGGTTTATCGAAATATCGAATTCTTCAAGAAGCTTTGTTATGTCGTACTCGGCAAAAAGCCTCTTTCGCCTAGAAAATAGAAAGTTGAATATTAACAATGCGTTTTCTTTTTAGCCTAATATCAGTAAGCTGATAAAGCAGAATTTCAAACAAAATACATACAGGAAACAGGGCTAGGAAAAACAGCCCATGCCTTATTAACCATTACTCTTGTTAGCAATGTAATGCATAAAGGTACTCCTTACAGCTAGATTTGAAAAGTCTGTTACCTACTAAAAGTCTACTAAAAGTCTTGAAAATTACAATGAAGGTCATATTACAGTAACGTTTTTAGCGACACACAAGTAAATTGTATCCATATGCATTAAACAGAAAACATTCGTTGAATACACCCCCCTCTTTTAAATGTGTTTAGCCCAATATGAACATGTAATCAAATTTTTAATTGCTATATAGATATGCATATTTTTCTTTGGAAGTTTTTGTTCTTCGAAGGTAAAATATTCAACTATTTAGTTGAAAAATAGGTTTAGATTAACAAAGAGTAATTTATTGATGTCGCTGTTGGTGTTTCTAGCAACGACTGTTCATTTTTCTTTAACTGTTTCTGTGACGACAGATCAGCAAACTTTTATAATGACTTTCACTTTAAAATGGCGCATAAAAGCTTAGTACTTGAAATAGCTTCGCATTTATATGATTTACGAATCACATCACATTTTGTAAGCAACAACTAAAATTTTCACCATATCAGTCGAGATAAAATTTCAGTACCTCTCAATTTCAATTTTCCTAGGCACTTGGTTTCCTTCTGTTTTGAAAGGAAGTTGTACCTTTGGTTCCCATGCTCTAAGTGGGAATTCCTGTGAAAAGACATTAATTTTCATTCATGGAAAGGTTAATTTAACAGATCTCAAGGCACAAGAACACCATTCTTTAAAAATATTGAAACTTCAGAGAAGCAGGTTGGTGTTCCCAGTTACACCTCTACCAATACATTTATGTCACTCTGTAGGTGTAGACTTTACTTTTTTTTGGTTACAAACATTTTGGAAACATTAACAGCATACTAGATGCATATTCTTTCAAGGTTTTATAAAACCATAGCTCATAAAGTTGACATACTTAAGTCCAGTAAAACAATATTAATCTTACAGTGAAAAGAACAGTTAATACATCAAATGAAGCAGATATAAATCAAACAAGAAATCTGCAAAACTATAGACTTACTGAAACCCCTACTGGGGCTGTTGTTGGACCATAAGCATTTTCTTTCACAATTTGTGTTACATTCTCTGGTCCTCTAAAACTTGTAACTAGAAATAAGGGTAGAAACTTTTTAAGAATGGTATCCCAATAGTCTTCTGCAAAAAACATGCATATAGGAAAAAGCTAGGTGAAAATCTCTCATTGTCATATAATTTTAGACAGCAAAACATACAAACATACAGCTCTAAAAGAAAGGAAAAGTTTTAATGTACAATTTCAGAAAACTGAAAAGGAATTATAATATAAAAACTTGTCTTTCTGGTGCCACCAACCCCATTTAAAAAGCCTGAATAGCCTTGCTTATGCTCAAGAATCATCATCTGTGTGTATTGCATTTATTGAAAGTGGTTACTCTTAAGGGCCTCGCAGATATGAATGACCCTTTGCCTAAGGTAAAAACATTTTGCTATAGTTCAACTTGGTAATAGCAAGAAGACCACTGATGTATTTGCTTTTGCTGTCAATGAAAAATTTACTACCAAAACAATATCAGGACATAAATTATCATGAGGGTTTGCCACAAATTCAAAATAATATCCATAAAAAGCTTCACATGAACAATTTTGTATTATCAACAGAGCATGGATGCCCTTAATATTAAGGATGAAGGCACTGTTCATCAGCCAGTTTGTTAATGAGAAGGATACAGAAATTATGAATGTGAGATTTAAAGTTTTCACATATTATCACAGAGCATAAAAATGGCTTAAAGATCTCATCTTATAGCAGCAGTTTTGATAAGATGTTTATATTCCTTCTGCCTCAAGGCAGGATAATGGAACATTCTTGAGGGATTAGCTTAAAGTTGTCAAATCCAGCAATAAAAATATTTGTCTCATATGTCAGTTTGTTAGTGCATTTGGAGCCATAGAAAATAATCTCCAAAAGAATTAGCAAAAGACTTCTTGACAATTTGAGGAGCATTTCTCTTATACATAAGAGCTTCCTACTTACCTTGCATGGCATAAAAACAGAAAAGAAGCAGGCCTTGACATGAGACTTCTAACAGGGAAGTAGTAAACAGCCCTCTTAGCAATTTCTAGGTGAGCTAATCATTTATCAAATAGAAATGAATGAAAAATTTATTCAAAGACGGGCAATTTCCTTTTTTGAACAGTTTAGGAGAGGAATCTGCAGCTACCCTTGAGCATTTGTGGAGAGCCTGGAGGGAAGCAAGAGTTATAGCTTTCTTTAAATGGCCAGACCTGAAGAAGATATGGTAAATTGGCTCAATTATTATGAATCTATGTTTAGTTTATCATTTGCTTAAAACATGAACTCACCTTTTGGAGAATGCTCCTTTTCAACAGTCTTCCATGAAACACTTGTTTCTTTTCTTGGGCCTGAACTTACATTCTACAAACAATAAGCATACTCTTATTTTATCTACCAAAGAAGAATAAATCTTAAGATCTTAAAAAATTTATAGTCTGTTTGCTGTGCAATTTCCAGGAAATTGTTTGCAAATTATGAGTCTCAAAGCTGATAAAGCTCACTTCATATCAAAAGATTATTTCATTGGAAATTGGAGTTCTGCAACATGCAAGACAAGCAAGTTTTGTTCTTTAGTGAGTTGTAGCTAAGTATTATAAAGATACTGATACAGAATTCACAGCTTTGGTATCAGTATCTTTGCAGAACAATATTGAATTTATGAACATCTACACCAGCACAAGGTACGTTATACATGCATCTATTTCAAAAAGCAATTTGTAAACTTATATGACCTCCAGTTTTAACTTTATTCCTTCATAGATCTATTCTAAATAAAATATCTGTGAAAAGAATCATTTTTTTCAGAAACAAATGTTAAAGCCCTCCACATTCACAAGAGCCTCAGAGAAAAGAGAAAAAAGCTATGGATTAGGCCAAGTACAAGATAATATACAATAAGTTTCTGTTTCAAGATAGAAACAGTAGCAAAGCCAAAGGTCCTGCTGGTTCTGCTGAGCAGCTGCAAGAATTTCCAAAGATAAGATTTACTGTAAACAATAAAAAACTTCTTCTTTGCAAAAAGGAAGTTTCAAATCTATTTGATATACAGTCCCGAGTTCCGTCAGCTGATACAGGCATCCTGTGCTAATCGCAAGGTCCTGTTCTTTACTACAGCAACCCTGTATTTTCATCCTGCTCCATACTACGATGACTTATGTTTGGTCCTGCTTCACAAAGGCTTTTGTAAATTTATTTCTGTTTCACAATAGTCTAGAACAAAGAGCAGTCAGTCCTGCTCAATCTCGGGAGCAGGACCTCATCGAGATGATCATCATAACATGTTATAAGCAGCAGTGATTTGATTAACTAATAAATAGGCCAAAGAGCATTGTTTAGAAAACCTTTGGTCCTGCTATTTCTGAGAGCAGGACTGTGAGGATTGCCTTGTGCATTCTCGTTCTGTTTAGAGACACTGAGATGAGAGTACTAGCAAGGAGGCCAGTTTAAGATGAAGTGAATGTGGATTATCTGCTTGTTTGTGTGATACCAGATGTGATTATTATAGACAACAAAACTTGCCTCAGTTGAGCTGCATAAAGATAGAGTCCAAAGTTCCAAGAAAGAAATGGTAAACAACATGGATTGGCTGTATAAGGCACTCTGATTTTGGCCTTCGCATGAGGCAAAATGTATCATGGTAGCCTAAATAAGTACGATTCTCTTAGCCCTGGACAAGGACAATGAAAGCATAATTGAAATTACTGTTGAGTGATTGAAATTTTGGAGTCGGAGAATAAACCAATTTCAGCGGAATATGCATTTGTAAGTGATTAAAGAGTGACTGATGTTGGGTGACTGATTGCTATGTTGATTACCGATAAGGTGAATGCTGAACTGCTAGTATGAGAGTGTATTTTTCTATCAGAATTGTTTGGCTCATCTAATGGTTTGGCTAATGAAGTTGTTTTCATTGATAACACAACAAATTATTCAAGTGTACCACTCTTTATCAGCTGCAGAATAATTGTCCTGCATAATATGTGAACTTGTCCGTACAGATTTAAACTCTGTTATTTATTTAATATGTTTTAATAATGCATCTAGAATTGTCAGATTTATAGGACCAAAATATAATTAGACTATTTCAGCTACCATAAATATATAATAGGTAACTTCTAATGTCACCCCTGTCCCTTATTGTTGTCAAATTTAGTTATCACCAAGTTGAACTTTTACATCAGCTGTAGAGGCTTACTACAATTTAACAAAGATTTGTCTGGAAAGCGCCATAGCATGCCTTTAAGTATGAGTTTGCTACATTTGCTTTTTACTGAATTGAAGAAAAAATTCATCTGCAGAAAAAGAATTTTTTTCATGGGCGTTTCTTATTGAATAAGCAGGACCTGTCCATACATACAGGACCAACTATGTTTGGCTCTAGCTTCACCTCTGGATAGAAATGATCGTTAACTGAGGCATATTTTCAAGCAAATTTCAATTCTATTAAAAGTGGACATCTTGTGCACAATATAAACCTCGTTAACAAGAACCCACAGGGTGTTACTGTTTCACTTACATTGAGCTGGGCACTGCTACCCTGTCCAACAACGATATCCGAGTAGTAGCCTCTTTGCTTCGGGGAAAAATTCTGTGTGTTTGGTGAAACACCACTTGCTTGTGGGAAGGATGAAGTCCTTACTGTTCTTCGACTTGACTGCGTTAGTCTGTGACTCGCAGACATCTTTTCTACGTATTTTATGGCTTTGCACCGTACGCTAGCGTTTTGTCTAACTTTCGGCGGCCATTTCCATTTCCAATTTGAAAGCGGTAAGTGAGCTACCGACCCATGGACCTTATCTACCCAGAAAGCAGTAAAACAATATCAAATATCGACCCAAGTTTACTAGGCACCATTAGCGCGTTGTCGTGGAGACTGTCCTATATCAAATATCGCTTAAAGTCCTGGCCTCATTCTGAATCTTCTCTCCTCAATCTTCCGCCATGTTAGGTTAGCATGGGAAATTGCATACCATGACGAAAAACTGCTGCTAAAAATATAAACGTTTAAGCACCGTTCTTTGAAGATTTAGGTGAGAGATTTGTTCTTAATTTTTTTATTTCGAACTTGCAGTTTAATTATATTCATATTTAACGAAAAAAGCTAGGCTATATCTGGTTATTACGATTTTTTATAAAATACAAATTGACAACATATAATTGGGATCAAATGTTAAATAGAAAGTGCTTCTCAACGAGGTATTTTGTGTTATTAGTCATTTCATCTCTTTGTTGAACCCGTGACCGTTTGATTACCAATTATATGACACGCGACGCAGACATTGGTGGACCAAAGGATTATCATCCTCTGCAAATTGGCGAAAGGTCGTTGCTATTTGAATATTGCTAAAAACCATTTTATTTTGTTTTTAGTCCTTTTCTTAGGTTATCTATAAGCGATTTTAAAGATCGGAAAAAAATGTGCTAGTACTTGATGATAATTTTTCTGTTCATAGTCACTTTTTACAATGATTTGTGCTTATAACTGTGTGCATTGCCAAAATATAATTATGAACATCTTCATTTTAAGGAAACATATTAATTTGCTAAAATTTATTCAATGGCAACAAACATGCGAGTTCTTGAAGAAAAAGTAGCAGATATCAAAGTGAATGATGATTCCAATGACCAGGATGGAGAGATTACCAACACAACTTCATCATTAGAAGAAGAAAATGAAGCGGATTTCAAGCACAATGGTCCTGTGGAAGGTCTGAGTATTCTTGATTTACCTCCAGAAATGATTCTTAGAATCTTTGTTCATCTTGATATCAGAACAATTTTCAAGACAGTAATTGTCACATGTAAAACGTTTTATGAAATTTTGAGTGCAAAGGATATCTGGCAGACTGTGTTTTGCTTGAAATGGGAGCATATCAATCTTTTGAAAGATCTTGAAAATGTGAACAGTTGGAGAAGCATATACTCTACCTATGATGATGTTGACAATTTCTGGAGGAGCAAGGGTGGATTGAAGCTTAATTGCAAAAAGCTTTTGGGACACTCAGCACCAGTTGATGCAGTCCATGTTATGCCTGGGAAAAAGTTTGCTGTTTCTGGTTCTAGGGACAGATCAGTTGTTGTATGGGATATTGAAAAGTTCTCTTTCGAGGATGAAACTGAATGTGATATCAAGGAAGCTGTCACTTTATCAGGGCATACTGTAAGTGCAAAAGAATGTGCTTTTGAAACCATTTTAAGGAAAATAATTGAGAATGATTGTAGTTCCAAGTCTGAAGTTGCTTCAGCAACAGTTATTGCAACCTTGCATTGATAATCAGAAAAAGTATTCACATGTTAATGTTGACACTATTTGTGACACTTGCAACTTTTGTACTTCCTTTTTACCAGACTTTATACAAGAGGTAAAATTCTCTTTGTTGAAAATTGTTGTATCAAAGGTATTTCTTCTAAATTGACAAACATCCTAGTTATTTGTTAAGAATCATTTGTTATTTGTTAAGAAGAGTTTTTGATTAGCTGTTGTTCTTAGCTGAGGCAAAAATGTCAAGCTTAAGTGATAAGGAGATGTGCGCAATCGGTGGTGCGTAAATGCTACTTTTCAGATTGAGCCTGGTTAGGAATAGTTAAAATATTTAACCAGTAAGGATTTTCGAATAAAGATTAATAAATGCTGTCATTCATGATATGTGTAATTTTCAATTGTTTGGTTCTGTTATTTGTTTAAGGGCTGGGTATGGTCTGTAACAACTGATGCAAGGCAACCACATGAAGTTATCACTGGATCGTGGGACAAAAGTGTAAAAGTTTGGGACTTGAATAAAAATGCAGAGAACATTCACACGTTCAAGTATCACCCCTCTGCAATATTGACAATGACATCATATAATGGGTTGATCCTCAGTGGTTGTTATGATAAGAAAGTGCGCAGTTTTGACCCACGATCTGAAGATGTACAAGAAATTATACAGCATAAGGGACCTATACTGTCACTTATTGTCCATGAAGATTTTGTCATATCTGGCAGTGAAGATAAAACAGTCAGTATATGTGACAGGAGAATGACAGGCCATACTCTGTCTTCAATTGGCATTGGAAGTGAGGTGCTAAGCATGAATCTTGCCCATGATATGGGTTTCCAGTACCTGAGAATTGGTAGCAAAAAAGGTGTCCTCAATCTATATGACACATCAAGCCAAAATTTTGTCCTTCTAGAGTCATATCAGCTGTGGAAGGACCACAAAGTCCTAAAGCTGGAAAACTTTCATGGAGCTTTGATTGCATGTGCATCTACAGGATATTACAGAGCCTACACCCCAGACAGGAGTTTGAAGCTGCTGGGAACTTTTCATGAACATACTTTGGAAATCTCCAGTGTTCATTCCAGAAATGGTATTATGGTTACTGGAGGCTGTGATGATACTGTTGCCTTATGGCGATACAGCAAAGAATGATGACAGTTTAAAAATATGTATGAATCTCGATTATCCTGCACTCATTAACAAACCCCACAAATTATTGGTGGGAAAATCACTTCTCCTTGTCAGTACTTATAGGTACTGATGTTTTAGAGCAGTTTAGGATTGATTGACGAATGGCAGGGCCGCACTTCCCACTGGGCCCTAAAAGTGTTAGTGTGGCCTTGTTGAATGGGACATAGAAGCAAGGCAGGGGGGCATTTGACTACCTGTGTATAAAAATTTGCAGGTCCCAAGACTTTTTCATCAGTTTTCACCCTACTAAATAAATCATATTTCCATACCCAAATGAGTAAATTTGAGAAATCTAAGACAGATGGCTAGAATGTTGCACCATATTTCCATACACAACCATAGACAAGAAGAATGTTGCCATATCACTTCAATTTGAAAAATAGACAAAATATTGAATTTATAAGTGAAAACTAAAGCCAAGGTTTTTTGCAAAATAATATGCAAAATTACTGTTAACAATCACAATTGCTCATAAGAATATTTGTATGCCTAGGTGATGTATCAGGTAATTTAATTTTAGTTGTATATTTTAGTTGTAATAAATTAATTTACCAGTAAACTTGATTGTTCTCTTTTGTTTTGTAGTTTCCTGCTTACTGAGATTCTAAATTGAAATTTGTCGAAAAGAAGTCATTTTCTAGGTATCATCTTTTCTACCCAATGTTACGGTAAATTGTTTTCTATGAAATAATTTAACGGAAAGGAGAGCAAATCGATTGTATTCCAAATAATTATCTCGACAAGGACAACAATTATCTCTAAGCAATTCTTTGCATTTATCAAGAGGGAAATACTCCGAGAAAACCTATAGACAAAGAAGCCACCGGTAATGTGATAACAAGCAGAATTTCAAAGGCGTGTCTATGTAAGTAAACTATTTTCGATAAACATTAATAACGCTTGGGATAAAATATGACTTCTATGGCATCAAAACAACTTTGTAAGGTAAACATCGTGACAGACTCCAATAGTTTATAAATAAGCTTTATGCAATGAAAAGCTTTAAAAATCCATGAAAAAAGCTTAAATATGCGGGGCCTTCCTAGATTGTAAAGGTTACGGCTCACGAATTCCCGCACAATATATTAGTACCTTACAAAAATAGGCACAGCGCCAAAGCATTTTTTAACGTTTTCAAGATATTTTTATTTTTCAAATCCATTTTCTAACTTTTGCATCACCAAAAATTATTAAGATTACTTTTGAGAAAACTTAGAATAAAGCACAAAAATGTTTTAGAAAACTTTGAAGATAGCACTACTCGGAGAATGAACGTCAGATATGACTAAAGGTAAGCATAAACTTATAAGGATTTTTTGACATTCTGTTTTTATTAGAGCTCCGAGGCTTGATCTTCCGGTTAAAAAAAGAACAGTATAAGGATCCAGCCTCATGTAAAAAATTGCAAGAAAAAACAACTTATCAGCAAATTAGTCCGTGCTATGAAAAATTTATGCAAAACTGTTATTCAGTGGTCTTAGACACAATGTGTAGTATGTTATTGTAGAAAAACCGATGTTGAAAAAAGAACAAAATAAAGAACAGGAGAACTTCAAATTATCCCAAAAATGAGAACAACCGAGCCTTGACAAAAACTACCTGGTTCTTATAAAGTATTGCGGTGTAACATAAGTGTCGACGGTAATCTTTAGTTAACCATTTAACTCAGACAAAAATCACCAATATTCTCGAGGTGCTTCAATGTAAAATCGCCAGCATTGCAAGAACTAATCTGGTCAGGGGCGTCGCGACCTGGGGGGGGGGGGGGTTTATGGGGGGTGCCACACCCCCCAATAGTATCTCAGTAGGAAATTTCAGGTAAAATTTGCTCGGTGGAAGAAACGCTTTAGGTATTTCAGAGGCCTTCAGGTCAAATAATCAATAAAGGATCAAGCAAAGGTAGTTGCTCCGTTAGTTAAATATGATATTCCTTGATATGAATGAAGGTAAATAAACTAATGATTTGAAGATTTGAAGATTGCTTGTTGGCAATAAATCTAAAAATCCAGGCCCTCTTTGGGTAAAATTGTGCCTTGTCTCCATTTCTCCTAAAGTTTCTCAGTAGAAGTGTCAACGGCAATTCACTATGAGCTTCAGATTTTTCTTAACATTCAAAAGGCATGGTAAGATGGAGAGAGGGATCTAAATTTAGAAGTAACTGACAACCTGGTATTTTTCAAGACCACGGCAAAGTTATTGCTTTTAACTGCTGTAAAATTTTTTTGCAAAAAAATAATAATTTTAAATAGGATAAGGAGGATTGCTTTAAAGAAATTTGCTTTAAAGAGTGCATTTTCTAGTGAACTGGAAGCATCAAAATTCGAAAATTTCCTCCTGCTTCGGCGGCAACCGGTGCCTCCTCAGGTAGTAACTATATCCATTGCCTCTCCCAATATAAAGATTTGACAAAACTATTAGGGAAGTCCGTTATTATCATACAGAGTTTGGCAAAATGTATTGCAGAGGTGTGTGACAGCAGCTAAAATATTTCAGGCAATAATTTTTAATCAGGTAAATTTGTAGTCCCCCCCCCCCCCCCCCCAATGAGGCTTGCTTCGCGACGGCCCTGTATCTGGTGTTAGCAAACACAACACATTCCCTTTATGTGAAAATTTATTGCTTACTTTTTCTCTTATTGATTATAAATGATTGTGTAATGAAGGATAAAGTTGCTATTTTTGCTATCAGTGTTAAAATTAGTGAACTTCATCTGTTTTAAAGGGTGGAACTTCAAAGTTTTAGAATGCAATCTCCATTCTGGTACATAAAGTGTCCATAAAATGTGGACAATACTCGTCCAAACTAACGATGTTGAGCACAAATCACAAACTCGCTCTGGCACTGACAAACAGCTGGTATTCAAGTTAAATAATTCATAAAATTAAGGCGAGGTTTCAAGATGTGTGACGAATTCAGAGTCTGCGTCCCAACAAAACGTGTATTGCCAAATATAATCATTGTCTCTATGTTGTGGCTTAACAAAGAGGCCACAAGTAGATATCATTGTTGCCTTGGAAACGGCTTGCTACACAGGACCTGCTGGTAACTTCATAAGTTAATATGACTCATAGTAGTTTATTGCTACCAATCCCCTTGTGATTCTGTAGCTTGCATCTCGCCTTAGGTATCATTGTTTTCTTGGGAATGGAAGTAAACAGATATTTCATAGACAAGTCGCTTTGTGCGTCATAGTTTTTTTAATACTCAGTTGCTGCATGCATAGTAGGACGACACCACTGGCAGTCACAACAAAATGCAAGGAATTAACGTCACTTACAACTGGTTTCAATAGATCGTCGCAGGATAGATCGTTCAAGGTATTCCAGCAAATAAAGTATGTTTTTTATTTGATGTTAGCATTTCATATTGTGTAAAATCAATGAATCAATCAATCACATTGCTACTCGTTAACAAACATATGGTCTTATTTTTTAATTAGTCTACCGTTAAGTAATTTGCGGAGGCCTAAATCAATATTTATAAATGGGAGGAGAGATATTAAAGCGAGATGCTTTATCGATATAAATATGGCAAAATGGAGCGTTGAGGGTACATTGTTTGCTGGGTTGGTAAGAATACTTTGTTTGCTGGCTGCTCTGCAACCCCTGTCTTTCTTCGTAGAAACTGGGGCACTCAAAGAAAACCTGATTTGGAATAGGGAGACAAAAGTAGGAGAGATAAGAAAAGAATTGAGTTCTACTGATTCTGACCTAG